CATTTATACCCTAGTAATTAAAAACATAAACATGTATGTTTTCTCTCTGGCTGGCCCTCTTTTCAGATATGTAGGCTTTATGATGACCCATTTTAAACTGGTGCCCACAGCCAGGTCTAAAAACTACATATCAATATATCGTATACCTGAGGCCTAAGGCTTGTGCCTTCTTGAAAAGCCAGAGCTACACAAACATACACACACACCTCAGCCTACTTGGGGCTTTGAGACACAGCCAACACGGGCTGAGAAGCAGACTTTCCACCTTCTCCTCCACTCTTGGAGGTCACTGTCATTGCTTTTACCAGGTAGAATCTGTTATAAGCACAATAAACATCAATGAAGACTTTGAATAGCTGAGACTAATTTTTAACAAAATGATGAAGCCACCAAAATTCACAATCTTGCAATCTTTAGGCAACGCCCCCAATATAAGTCGCTCTTGGCCATGTGTGTGCTCCTGTGTGCTCGTCCGTATCGCTCTACTCTTCTATCTCCCTGATCCCAACACCCACCCAGGGTGCCTTCCCCCTAAACCCTTCCTTCTGGGTGCCCTCAAACCTGATTCTGAGGTGGAAACTCATCCATCATCCTCTGCTTCTTTCCATTACTCCAACCCCTTGCTCTTCCTATTGAGCCTGAATAGAAAAAAACCCAGTTCTAGATTAACTTTTGGTCCCCTCTGTTCCTACACTGGGCTGCACCCTGTAGATCTGGATAACTATAAACCCATGGCCTCAGCTATTTCAAACCTCCGCTCAACTCAAATACCTTAACCTGTAATCTTTTCCTAAAATCCAGGCAGGACATCACATCTTTTAACTCACTGAGAGCAATCAGTGCAGGGTGTATGGAAAATGGAAGTTACCCTGGCCAGGATCCTCACCCGACCCTAATCTCTTTGCCCACTGTGCATGTGCAGCACTCGTGCTGGCAGTGAGCCATTATAGACTGTGTTGCCTTAGAAAGAGCTCTGCCCAGTGCTCCACACAAATGTGAAGGAGATGGATGCAGACTTGCACGATGCTGATGTGATTCTAGCACTTGACCTGCCATCATGAGAATAAAGCTTGGTATAATACAGTTTACCCACAATGTTCCGTGTCATTATTTGGTCTCAGCATCCAGACTGAACTTGCCCAGGGCTAGAAACCTCCAGCAAGACACAGGCAACTCCCTCACCTTTCTTGTCCCATCTTAATCACCCTTTCTTCTGGTCCTTCGTTAGCAAAAGGCACGTCCCTCCCCATGAGGCCAGTTCCTCCAACCTGCTGCCGGGAGGAGACACTAAGTAAGGAGGTAAACCGGTGGTCACTGGAGCACCAGCGACAGATAACAAAGGCCAGAAAGAACTAAAGTGTGGCTTCAGGAATACTGGTACATCCCGTCTTTACTGCACTCTGAATTTTTGGAGAAGAGCTTACCAGGGCTATAATCCCATATCATCACCAGCACGTGTATGCCATTCTTGCATAACTGGGAACAGAGGGAAAAGAACTTTACTGCTGACTTCTACCCCATAGAAAAATATGGCTGATTAGAGGTAGAAGAAAATAGTGCAAAACAGTCTTCTCTAGATTAGAATGTGTGCAAGGTAACCTCATAGGATGCGAGAAGAAAATGTCTATTTATATTTACATTTCATCCAAAAGGAGGAAGAAATTAAACTTCACAAACATTTACTGCAGACAGAGAATGGGCCTGCCCTCCAATGACAGCCAGTGTCCTCTCATGATCTGTATCTCAGGGGACCTGAGGTCAGAAGGGGACTCTGAACAGCCCTTGAACTCCCAAGTTTGTTTTAGCACGTGCAGCAGACGGTAGCTAATCTTTGTCAAGCTGGAATTAACAGATTTTATTTCCTTTTAATGAAATAATTCTTAAAATGTGGCTTAAGTAGATCCCTGTAAAGCAACCATGGCTTTAAGACACTTAAAATGCAAGAAACGAACAGGAAAACTATTCTACAACAAGCCCTTCATCAGCCACACCATGCGTTAAACCAGGAAGGATCTCGTCAGACTTGACAAGAATTTGGACAAAAGTTGTCAAAACTACTTGAAATCTATATGTATACCTACATCAATGCTATTAAGGATAAATCTCATGCTAAGATTATACTACCTTTGAGAAATTAGCTAATGATAAAATACATGCAAAAAATATCTTAGAAGAAATATGCATCCGTGGGAAGTGTTTGATCAATAAACTTCTATTGATGGAAAAGTACCATTAAAGAAGTCTGGAGACCACAGGCATAGATAGATTCTAAAACCGTGGAAATGAAATTTCCTAGTCTTTGCTCTGGGGCAAAAGTAGCTATACGTTAAGATCAGCAACATTCTAAAAGAATGTTTTGTTTTTGAGAAAAACTTTCGAAAACTTCTTAATCTCTAGTTTATTCTCATCTCCTATGCAGTCTTTTTCCTTCAAACACATTTTGCTTAGCATATATTCTTCTTTTAGCACATGGGAAGCAGAAGGAAGAAAAACTCCCTTATTTTTGTTGTCCTAAATATTCAACATGTCCATGGACACAAGAATTACATAAAACCAACCATCATTGTACAGTTTGGTAGGTGAAGTTTTAAGTGTCCTATGAACTATTCATTGTACAAACATCTCATCCATGACTCTTTTTTCTTCGCAGTAGTTTTTGGTAAACATCAAGTCAGTCCCTAACATGACTCAAGGGAACTTAGTTACAAAGGCACTGAAAGAAAAGTGTCCTTGCCTTATTCTATTTGTGGAACTCTGATGGTAAATTCTCAGCCAGATGGCAGGGTCATCAGAAACCCACAGTAGGCTCGGGCACCTGCAGGGGTGCTGTTGGGTGGTATCATATCGCCCATTTGACAATAAAGCATGGTCATTTCAAAGCACTTGTCAAAAAGGAACAAAGAACTGCACCCTCATTATAATTTCACTTGGCACAAATAATTAAAGCAAGTTTTAAAATGATCAAAAAAAGGAAACTAGATCCTTTCCCAGCCTCTCTATATTTTCATTTTTACAGATCAAACCACCACGGCCCAGAGGGCACTTCCAAGCCCTTCCAGCCACAGCCACCATTAGGAACTGGATCTGAAATTCGGCAAAGGCCCATCTACTTCTGCACGGGTATCAAAGAGGATACTCCATTATTTCAAAATACTGTAGCAGTACATGAGAATTAGTGGTTTTGATTTTTAAGACAAAAAAGTCTACTCCATGATTTAGCTTCCCTAATGCTTAAGAACTGTTAAGTTATTAAAAAGAAGGCCAAGTTGCTCTAATGCCCTGTTGGCCTACCTGAGCAAACCAGAATCTAAACCTGAAAACGCCCCACGGTGTGAAATCAAAACACGAAGGACAACCAATCATCACCAGCTGCCACCTGGACTTCACACTAGAGCCCGTTGGTGACTTCTTCGCTTGGCTTCTGCCTTTTCTCTGAGTCTCTCCCCAGCTCCTGCGGGAGCAGCGCCCCTAGCCACTTACGGTTTGGCACTACCTGATCTGAACTGATTTCTGCTCAAATAAACTCTTAAAAATTTAAATATGCTTTGGTTTATCTTTTAGCAGAACCAATCTTTACATTAAGATTTTTAGAATTGAGATTCATCCCAATGTGCTGTGCTTCAAAGAAAGGGATAGAAGAGAACAAAGAGAGAAGGAAACGAGAAGGCGTGTGTGCAGAGAGGAAGAGCAGTGTCTGCTGCGTACGCTGATATTTACAGGACTCTTCAGAAGTCAGCCTGTCGCTTAGGATCAGTTCAAGAGGAGACAAATCAGGCATCCAAGCTTGAAAAACTTCCCATGAGGGCAACAGCTGATAACTAGGAGCCTGTAAACCTTTTCTGAAATATTTTAAACCACTTATCTTTCTCCAAAAGCTTATTTTACTTTTACTTTAAAAAAAAAAAAGCAAAATTCCCAGCTCTTTAACAGGGGTGGCATTCAAACAGGTTGAGATTACATCATTCCCTTAAATTCATCTTTGAAGTGGAAATGTGATCATGTGCAAAACATCAAAGGAGTAACAATAATTTCAACTGCCTTCTCAGATGACATGTTTATAATCAAATATATGCATTATATATAACACATGATCCCGTAGGTTAGAATTACACTTTCCATCAAGGTCTCCCACCTGAGACCTAGGCTTTGAGAAGGAAATGCTACCACTGAGAAGTGGCAACTAATTTCTGTCGGTGGCAACCCGTGGCTCTTCAGTGATGGCCTCTGGGAAGAGGGCCAAGCAGGGGAAATGTAACACTCCCCCCTTGAACCCAACACCATCACCGCTGAAATGAATTTACAAGGTTATGGGGAAAATCCAAAGTAATAATCTGTCGTTCTTGTTTTATGAGGCTATCTTATTATTCAGAAAAATTGAATCATTTGACTTCTAAATGTACACAAGCCAGAAGAGTGTCTCTATATTACTTAATAAAATCACTCACCCTGTCACACTTCCCCTGGTTTCAATTCATGGTCTTTAGTGATTTATTTACTAACTGTTTCCCCCCTGCGTATGAGAGGGCAGGGACCTACAGCCTCAGGGTCACAGACAGAAGCTGGCACATAGTTGGCAGTTTACAATATTTGTAGAATGTGTGGTCAATATTATTTTCATTATATGCTTTTTATATATTATATTTCTGTTCTTGATACCCCAACTTAGCCTCTCACACTATCAGTAAAAATATATCACACATATAACCTTCATTTAAAAGAAACAGAAAAAGTTCATTTTAAATAACCAGCTATTCCATATGTTCATGTGAATGTTTTATTAAATGCATACTAATATCTTTCTACAGTATGTGAGTATATGTAATAAATTAAAATGTATATATTTATTAAATATAGATATAATACCAGAACATGATTATTTCAGATGAGAAATCAAAATAAACCCATTTTTAAGTATCTTTTGGTTACTCCAAATTCATATTGCTCATAAAAAAATACACTGATTTTCCCAGGGGGAAAAAATTAATTCCATAGCAACATAGTTAAGGGACATGTTTTATTTCATAGCTTTCTGCAAGCAAAATTGCTTTGATACAAAATGAGTTCAATGATACAGTTGCTACTGTCCACTCAAGCAAAAGAAAACCGCACATTTATATGAATGCACTTTATAATTATTGTCTTACAGTATAATAGGTCTAGTATCCAGGACACCTCTGGCCTCACGTGAAGCAATGGCACAGAAATGCTGCAAGGTTCTTGAAACGTCACACAGCACTGGTAAGTGCTTAAAGTAACTTCCTGTGAGTTCTGTCAGATACTGCGGAAAGAGCTGCGTGTGGTTTGTGTGTGCCTGCCCTCCATCTTTCAGTTTGCACTTAAAGCATCTCGAAAATAGATCCCCTGTGTGTGTCTTTTGGCTTTTCCAAATTTCCACAAAAGCAAGAGAAGTCATGAGGTATCCTCAGTGTTAGCTACTGACGTAGGGCTGTGGCTGGCAGAAGAGGCGGGCTTACCTGTAGGCAGAGGAACTGATTTTAGTGTGCGCTCTACACATCACGGTGCAGAAACATTAGTGCCTGTTAAGCGCTTTCTCCCCCCTCACCTGTGATGTGACTTTTACCCCAGAATATCTGACAAAAAATTATACAGATAAAGTAAAAAGACAAATACACAAATAAGGCCATCTGCAGATTTTTAAATTCACCTCTTGCAAGATTTCACAATAATTTCTACATCACATTTTACATCTTTCAAACTTAAATAAGAAATGCTCAAGGAAGGGCGTTGGTGGAACCAGTCGCACTATCTCTTTGAGGACTTGCCCAATTTGCTGGCAGGTAACTTCCTCTGGGGCGTGGGGATCTTGGAAGGCTTGGCTTTGGACGGCCGAGAACCCGCTCGGGGGGCAGGCCTGCGCGTCGGGGGGACGGTCTCCACGTCTGAGCACACGGACTGGATTTCTGAAATGTCAAAGTCTGACGCGTCACTGCCCCGACGGCTGCTGGCTCTGCTGCCCGCTCTGCTGCCCGCTCTGCTGCCCGCTCGGCTGGGAGTCTTCTTGGGATCTGAGGAGAGAGGGCAGAGACGGGTCACCCTCATCACTGGGGCCATCCGCCACACATGCTTGAACACTAGTGCCCCCTCTATCTCAGTTCTCTCTCTCCTGCGGTTCACGGCCTTCCTCCATTCCACAAGAGAAGGCAGCCTTACTCTAGGTAGATAAAAGTCACAGCAAGCTACATTTGCAGGGTAGGTTTGGGTTTATCCCACTGGAAACAGGATCCCATTTACTACCAACACACATAAGGAATACACAGATAATGTAATACTATGCCTTCCAAAGTCCAGCATGTGTACTCAGGTATGGGTCGTGCAAGTAAGAGCAAACCCTCACAGGTAGGTCTTGCCTGAGGATAAGTAACTCAGAGCACAGAGGAACCTTGAGACTTTAAAGGTCCTCCCTACTGGCCTCGCCCAGAGCCCCAGGGGTCAGGTCTGCTCTTCCGGGAAACCTGAGGAGCACCGAGCCTGAGGCCCAGCAGGGCTGGGTTTCTCCAACCACCCAAAGTGAAGCCCAGGGCCGTGCCTAAGCCGTCCAGAGAGCCAAGACCTCCAGCCTGAAGGAGCAGCAGGATGCCGTGGCAGTTTTCTTCTGTTCTACCATCAGTCTCTCGTCCCTCTTTGGTGCTTTCCAAAAGGGATTTTCTCATCACTTACTCCCCTGACACATTTCAACCCTACCTTCATTGGAGGCCTGGGGCTGTGTGTCATTTCAAGGGAACACAGCACCATCAATTCGTAATTTCTTCCCCAACTGGGAAGAACAGGGACTTCAATCTTCAGATGATACTGCAAAGCCATTAAGGAAAGAGACGCGCCACACTCACCAGCAAACTGTGTTCGGATTCTGGCGGCTGCGGTTGTTATCAAGCCACTGTCCTCTCCAGAGTGGAAGCCTTTCCCTGATAAATACCCTGGGAGTCGAAGCTTGCTCCCTTGTATCGGTGTTCCCTGCAGTTAATCAGGGAAAGGACATTTTAAGAGATTGCTCCTTGTTCCATGATATTCCATCGACGCCACTTGGTGGATCCGTGGAAACCCTCTATCAGACCTCATCGGGAAGTGCAGGGGGAGAAGCTTCGATTAAGGGAGGCATGGGGTTCTCACTTGCTCTTTCTACACTAATTTCTTTTCTCCCTGAACTCAAAGGGAACCCTATAAAGAAATGTAACTCATGTTAAAGAGAAAACACAAAGTGAGTTTCCAATTTGGGATCCGGGAGGTACCCAAAGGACGGCAATGGGAAAAAGACAAATTAAACTATGAGTATATTTCAGACTGCATCAGTATACTTCAGATTGTCAGTGAACATTACAGAGTTAGGAGAATATTGCCACAAAGATGATGACGGCATGGTATACAGAGAATATGGGCTTTCAAAAATTGAAAGTTTTCCCAAAGTTAAAAAAATAAATCTGAGCAGTATTAATGTCATATTCCTCAATGAATTTAGAGAGCTATTTGGAGAATGTGAATCTATACCTATTATGAGTGCTTTTTAAAGAAATTAATTTTATAAATTTTTCCTTTATTAAATAGTTTTACATGTTCAGTAAAGCCTATGTAAGACCTGTTGATAGATCACAAACTTGCACTTTATTAATATAATTCATTTAAATACGCATTATATACATAAATATAGAATTTATATATGATTTGTACACATGTAATATTTAAGACTTCAAAACACTTTCACACATATTAGCACAATTAATCCTCACACTCACCTAGTCACAACTTAACATTTTACAAGTAAGAAAAATGAGGGCTCGAGGAGGGAAGTGATTTGCCCGAGATCTGACAACCCTGATTCTAGTTAAAATTCTTAACCTAAAAAGAACCTCAACAATCCGTGAGAGAGGGAGGACCTACAAATCATTAAATATATCATTCAAGGTGGCAGAATGCATAGAATCATTCTCAGAATGCCTGGATGGCTTGGATTTCATCGTCAAAACCCTACTTAGTACTGCTTTTCAAAAGACATCTTCCACAGACATAGACTGTTGTTTTGTCTGTTTGGCTGATTTGTTCTGATGAGGCTATTTAAAATGAAACGTAGTTCTGTATTAGTCTAAATATCCTACTCAGACTTTAATCTGGGGGAGTTTCTACTTTTTAAAAATGTAAACTAAAGCAGCACACCTCCAGATATTTAAAACAAACATGTTGCTTGACGTTCCTTAAACTGTTTTCAGCTTCTGTGACAAGAGATCCATCCCAAATGACAGACATCCCTAGATACAATACTTGACACTCATGTCTCCCATTTGAGGGAGGAGTGGAAATGAGGGGCTGGGGAGAGAGGAAGAGCTGAAGAATGGGCTGTTTCTGCCCCAATTCTACCACTATCAGCAGTGGTACTTCCATTGTTTCCATCTGAGTTCTGAGGATAATGGAATTTTCTCTGCCTACCTCTTATTATTGATGTGAGGATTAAATAACAGATCAGAAAGCATTTTAAAAAGCATAAACAGCTTTCTAAAGGTACCACAACACTTTTACATAAGGGTCTTCCTGGCGTTTAACATGAAATATCTCTCTCATTTCAAGAAAAAGTGGTTTAGGGATTTCCTCCCCAATTATTGTGATTCTAATCAAATGTGTGATTATTTGATGCCTATGTTTGTCATTTTAGAGAAGTTTCTTTGAAAGATACATGGTTGACTTTCAATTGAATGTAAGTGATCAGTTGATCTTGGCAAATTTTATATGGCCTAAATATCTTATCTCCACATATTATGCCATAATAAAAAGCCAGAATATACTTGAAAAATAATCACTGAAGTCTAATAAAGATACATACTTTCTGAAAATGACAGATAACATTTTGCATAGCTAAGCCTCCCCCACTGCACTGAAACTACAAGGCGGATTTATGTCTCACCCACCCAGTGCTCTTGGGCAGAAATAAATGTAACAGACCTTCGGAAGGATGCTGCTGACAGTGAACACTCTAAATAAACATTCTTTTAAGTGATTCTCTTGCAAATGATACTGCCTCCCACTCTCACCTACAGAGGTTTCTTGCCCAAACTATGTCTACAAGCAAAAGAATGTCATCAGCTTTGAAAGAAACTTTACTTGGATCTGGATATAATTTCCTATATTTCACTCTCCCAAGAGTGAAAAGTAAAAATTAAGTATGAGTAAGAGAACAAACAAACAAAAAAGGACGTAGACAGCCTGCAGGTGTGGCTGTTAATCTGACACTGTTCAGGAGCTCAGACCACCTTTTCCGTTAGCCTCTGACTCTCATGTCTTCCTAGAAAGTTGAGTTGATACTTACTTTATAGCCTATAAAAAGACACAGCATTATCAAAAGGACATACAGTAAGGGTGAGGTGAAGCAATGTTAGTGGGTGACATTTCAATTAAAGCAGATGTTAGGCTGGCATCTGGGCCTTACAATACCTCTGCAGATGGCACGGAAAGGTCTGAGCACTCTGCTGCTTTACCAGGAGTTGACACTTTGCTGTTTGTCAACCAGGGTTTACTGTAATTGCGTGTTAAAGGATGGAGAATCTGTATGGAACAATGGCAAATCAAATGTAAAGGAGAGCAGATAAAAAACAGAGCCACAGAAAGATATTCACAGCAAAGAGTCACAATTCACTGTAAGAATAACAATAATTAAAAAAATAAGTGGAAAGATTTGATGGAAAAAAAAAAAAAAAAAAAAAAAAAAAAAGGAAAAAATCTGAAAGGTAACCAAAGTCCCTAAATAGCCTCTATATGGGGCACAAAGCAAAAGCATATATATCTGTGTACTTTAAATCTTTTGTTCACCCTGTTGTGAGAAGGGGTATAAATGGAGAAGGCTGGTCCTATAAAGTCTAGGGTCCTGAAACGGTCAGAAGGATATCCAAGAAAGTGAGTGGAAAGCCCTCCGGGCCCGAGCCTCACCTTGGGTGTGCTGGCGGCGGGGACCTGGGCGCAGGCCGCCTGGCCAGCAGGACTGGACACAGATGTTGATCGATTGGGTGAAGCTCCTCGCGAGGACGGCCGCGATCTCCGGCCCCAGGGTCGGAAAGCAACCATCCCCTGGTTGGCACCGTCCGCTAATATGAACTTCTCCCGAAGTTCCATGTTCGTCCTTCCTTTAGCTGCGTAACACACAACAACGCACACACACAAAAGAGGAAGGAAGAAAAGAGATGCTCAATTGCTTACAGGAAGTTCCACCCCCCCCCCACCACAGATCACGTTGCAGATTTCAAGAACATCTTTTTGCCATGCCAACTCCAACTCAGCATAACAAAAAGTTAAATGCATTCCTTTACAATGCATTCCTTTTGGACACAAGTAAGTTTGGGAAAAGAAAAAAAAAAAGGTGTGTTTATTCTAACACTAGACACCAGCAAGAATAACCACTAGTAAAGTAAGAGTCAGCATGAAAATGAAAAGCTCATGCTCCAATATTGTTAATCCACCAGCTACTGATGCCCACATGGCTGCATCACCCTTTCCCCACACTGAGAAAAAAGCCAGGAGGGCAGGGACTGTGTGTTTTGCATGGGCTTCTAAGGTAAGGAGGATGCCAGTATTTTAACATTGGGATTCACTGAACAATAGAATCACACAGAATGAGAGATGACTTGTTAATCATGATGCCAACATGAAAACTTGTATTTTATGCCTTGAAAAACTCTTTTTTACCAACATGCAATAACAAACACCAGACCCAAGGATATGTGGGGTACTTAGTGATGCGCACTCATCCGAACACATACGCACACGGAGAACACTCCACCCGATGAGCAACGTGTTAGCACGTGTTTGAGCACTTACATCACACCTCCACTTGCAATACACTGGGAGTGTGTCACATTGTCAGAATTTAAATTTGGAAGCACCAGCTCAGTTGGATATGAGTGAAGCCATACGCGATGGATGAAGCATGTTATTTTAAACAAATGACCAAAGCAAGAATGTAAAAGTAGGAGAGAGAAAAGGTAAGAGGCGAGAGGCAAAGAGAGGGATTGCCAACCTATAGTAGGCTGAGTAGTAGTAATTGAAGAGTTTGATTCCGAACGTAACATTTTACTCCCATGATGATGAACTAGAAAAAATGACACAGGATACCAATCACATTAAAGGATACTGTTAGCGAGAGCAGAAACAAAGTAACAGTAGTTGAATATGCAAAGGGTGTACAGATCCAGCCTTTCGCACACATTTTAGAAGAAAAGTTGTATCAGGAAAAGAAGCCCTTACAGGTCTGACTCAGTAAGAAAAAGGTATTTGGAAGTCCTTCCACAGGCATGCTAACTTTCCTTGGCAACCCAACAGAACAATGCACGCCCTAATTTCTTTGTTTCATAAATGCAGCTACCCTACCTTATCCAGCACTATCTTCAAAATAGAAAACGAAAAGGAAGCTTTGGTTACTTTGCTTCTTTCGTGGGTGTGTCTTTGACTTGCAGAGAACAGAGCTGCTGAGGGCGGCTGGCTAATGCACCCGGAGCACAGAGCCTGCTCACTGCGTGGGGCTACAACCTGATGCGCTGTGCATCCAGATGCCAGTCCTGACACAGAGGCCCATGGCGTGCACCGTGGCTTCTCGCTCGGTAGGCGGACAGACAGGGCCAGCACAAACACTTGTTTATTTAAGAGGATCAATGGACTCACAGGTTAAAGAAAGATTATTTTTTAAATTATCGTTTGTTTGCTTGTTTCAAAGAAAAATGGGCTTACTGAGTAAACGGGACCTAATAGAAATTGCAAGCAAATAACCACTCATAAAATTGACTGTAGGATCTGAAAAATAAGGAAAATTAAAAGCTAACTAAGGATTCTGGCTAGTAGATATGGTGAGAGTGATAGTGTTATATGCTTATTATTTTTAATGTTCTGATCTACAACTTCAAAGCAAGAGTCCAGTTAGTATTTGATTATTATTTAAAAATTTTAAAGTATTGTTTTCCTTACCTCCCCCTAATTTCATAAAAAAAACTTTCACTTTTAAACTTTTATTATCCACTATCTTCAGTCTTCATCATCTCATTTTACTTTCTTATTTAATGACACACAAAATCCTTTCCCTGGTTGGCATAATAGCTCATTTTGAAAATTGCAGATGGGAGCATTTCATAAGGAAAATCTACTTTAGTATTTTCTGCTGCTGGTCTTCTATTTATCCAGAAGAAGTTAAAAAGAAAAAAAAAAGAGAACAACATGGTTTGCATGACTGCCTCACGTTCTTTGGGAACCTTAGGCTGATAGAGACCAAGGTGAAACTTTCACTATTGTAATAAATGACCCAGTATGTTTCTGATGCTGGAAAATAATACAAAATCCATAGACTTTCATGTTGTTATAATCTTGACATAGCATCTCCTTACCCCTGCAAGGATCATTTTTCACCAAGAACTCATCAAGTGCCATCCATCCACCTCCAACACGAACCATCACAGTGCTTCGTAAGATTCGAACAAGTCGCAGTTGTTGGGAGTCTCCAAACTGTGAAGATGAAGAAAGAAAAGATCCTCTAATTGTCAACAGCAAGTCGAAGCTTAAAGGATCTTGATCTGCAGTAGCTTAAGTAACCAGCTTTAATTTCTTGCTTAGTTCACAGTGATTAGTAAAATCTCAGAAAAAGGGGTTTGTAATGATCTGCGTTAGGCTGCTGCATGCTGATTTAGCCCAAAGGAAATAGTTTGAAAAAAGATAACAAAGGTTATCAAGTATTACATTGAAGGTTTCTTCTAAAATGGTTTTTCTTTCTTATGACAGAAACATTAATTAGTAAGACAGGAATTGAAGAAATGTTTTTAGAAATTAAACACAGCCATGAAAATAAGCACTGGCCCCATTGCCCAGGGCTTATACAAAGTAGGATGACACTAAAGAGATCATCTGATTCATCTTCATTAAAAATTCCTCTTACACTCAAACTGTTTTCCACTGAAATCTGTGGGAGAAAGCTTCACGAACTCATTTTCCCTATGAGGAGCTTTGACTTAGGGAGATAAAGTAGTAAATGAACATGACCAATACAAATTTCACAGTCAACTAAAATTCCCACATCACTAATGATCTGTCTGGTAAACCAATTTGTTAAAGGCTGGATTAATGTGCCATTTTGAATTACTGTAATATGAGAACGGCCATTGACATATTATTAATGATACAGTTTTCAAATCTAAAAGGCTCTCTCTTAAAGCTATTTGTACCATAACTGCTGACACTGAGTAATGAGCAATCACCTTTTTTCTTGCCCTTTCAATGGATCCCCAATTACCTGCATATGCTACAAATTCTGCAAGTCCTGAATAAATGTCTAGATTACAGGTAGTTTCTGGTTATAAGGTTTATTTGTTTTGAAAGCTTGTGAGAAATGATTTTATACTTTTAAACCATTTCTCATGGGCTCATGTTCAGCTTATAAAAACCACTATACTGAATTTCATGGTTGCCAGCCCAGCAATACCATAGCAAAACGAACAGTCTATCAAACATAAATAGCTTCCTTCTAAGGTAGGTAAGATACAATTGACTTTGACTACTTGTCTGGGCTCATGATGGATAAACAGAAAACCTAAGTAGAAACAATCTGCTACTTTTCAATAAGCTTACATACTGAGTTCCAGGAAGAGAAATCTAAAACAAAGCCAACCATTCAAGACCCTGAAAGTCAGAATGCCCTGGAAAGGATGTAAAATACACTAGTAGGAACTCACACATTTTACATCAAACCTTCTTATATTGCTATTTCTAAGTCCATGTTAAACCTTGAGATTTAAACTTTCCTATCCAGTTCCTGAAATGTGAATTAAAATTTAAAAATCAAAATACACATTAATTTTGTTAGAAAAAATTTGGTGCTGCTAATAAGCAAAGGGAAAGGAGGGGATTTAAAGAAAATTACCCTTAAGGAACCAGATAATTAGACCAGATACTTTTGGTCCAAAATTATGCTCAAAACAAAAGTTTTAAGGAAATAATTAAAGTACCTTATAGAGATGATGCTTCAATTCTAAAATATGAATGATTTTAATTTCTTTTTTTGAGAAGGCATTCCCTAGATAACTCATATTGTCTTCAGAACTTTCCTAGTTTTCCCAACAGCCAAATCGTGAGACAAGAAAAAGTAGACTTTGTGCTTTCAGTGAATACAACCTTTTGAGATCAGTATTTCTCTCATCCTTTCCATAAGTGAAAGATGCTATCCCAATTGCTGCCTCAGAAAATAGAAAGAATGGAAAAGTAACTTTTTATGTATTACAACTAATGGAATTCTAAAAGCATCTATTCAAATGAACTAACACTTTATTTGAAAAACTATGATTCTGCAGTAAATGGGGATAAAAGCTAATTTGAAATTTAAGATGTAGTAGAGTTTAAAAGTGAGTGGCACAGTAATATCTATCATATTCAGGTGCTGCAAATAGCATGGTTCTTTTCAAAAAAACAAACAAAAAAAAACCAGTAAGGAACTCTTATTTAAATCAAAACACAATTTCATTTCTTGTCTTTAGTTCTAAAATTCTGATCATGATGCAGTGCCACTGAACAGTTTATACTGATTTAAATGTGAGGTCAAAATGGGATAAAGTCTACCTTAAGATTTTTATGAGCTGCAAGAGACAAATTTTCTCAAAAGGAATCACATCATTCAAAACCTTCAGAGCTAAAATGTCTATTCAGAAGCTGGGAAGCCCTCCCTCAGTGCCTGGGGAGAAAGGGACAATGGCTGCTTTGGAAAGAACCCATCACTCGTGGCTGAGGGCCACGGCAGCTCTCCTACCAGCTTCCGTGGCCCTGGCTGAGGCGGATCCTTCTCTCACTGCTGTGACCTCAGTGGATAAACTCCAATGAGGCTACACAGACATGTGTGGAGAAATAAATTTGTATTCCAACGAGTGGTTGCATAAAATTTACATGAACAGTATTATTAAAAACAGAAACTGAAAATTGCATTTGTAACACCGTCAACCAGGCAAGCTACAGTTCATTATCTGGTTTGCTTAAAAGTAATCTCCTCATTTGAGACACAAGGCAAAAAGGAGTCCTGGATGAAGGACCCTTACAGCATTTACAGAAACACCACGCCAACCGACAGCATAGTAGCTAGGGGGACAGCATGGGAAAGACTGGCCATGGCAAGCTTTAATGATCATGAATTAAAGTTAAGAAAAACTCATTGGGAACTTGAGAATACATTCCACTGGTTTATACCTGATTTCCCAGGAAGAACTGATAAAAAAAAATGAAAAATGGAAGAAAGATACAATTAGTTCAACAGGAAACTTTCTATGACTCTAGAAAACACACACACACACACACACACACTCTCTCTCTCTTTCTTTCTCTTTCTTTCTTTCTCTCTCTCTCTCTCTCTCTCTCTCTCTCTCTCTCTCTCTCTCTCTCACCCTCTGGGCTTTTGGCTATTGTAATGTCTAGTTTAGAGATGTGCAGGTACCCCCTTATCCCAATTCAAACCAAATAATCAGAATATTCTCTAGATAAATTTTTTCATTGTGGAAATAGAGAAATAAAAATGAGTAACATTTCACTTATAAACAACATACTGCATAAGGGAAGCTCAGCACATTTCCTATCTAGCTACAACATATAAAAGATGTTCCAAAAGAGAGAAAAAAGATAGAGAAAGAGTGACAAAGGCACACTGGCTGGACTTCAAATAGTTGTTTTGAAGAAGGTGAACTGAGTTAATTAAGGAAATAATAACTTTGAATAAAAGGAAAAGTCACTGCAGAAGTAGAAAACATTGCCTTTTTTTCATATTTATAAACATGAGTCAACATGTTTAACTTCGTGGTCCTGGCTTCAAATATCTTTCTTTGTTATTGGAAATACGAAAACTCACCTCTAATCACAATAAAAAAATTATAAAGTAATATGAAGCAACTTAAATATACAAGATGTGTCTTTCTGTGAATATTTTTCTCCTTAAAATAAACATGGTGTGCATGTCAAAAATATGTCCTAACTTACGAAATGCAGACCTATCTTTACATAATTTAAAAGGACAAAAACTGGAATTTTAGATACCTTCAATTTTGATATGAGGTAAAAATAATTAGCATTCCTGGAAAACAATACAGATCAAATTGTGTACACATTTCAATTTTTATCTTCTAAAACAACTATAAATTTATTTTGAAAACTTACCCTGTATTTGTTATCACCAATCTGTTCAACTTGAAATCGTTTTGCACATTTACACTTAGCTACCTGCCTTGTCACCTGTCAAACAATGAGATTTAATGTTAATGTTACACTGCAGCATCCTTAAAATTTTGACACAGAAAACAAACATGGAAATAAATAAAATGGCTGCATGAAGTGCTCATGGCATCCTGGCAGAACACACTACTGTTGTTTTAGGCGGTGAAAAGATAATGTGTACCTCGTCTTCGATTTTGTCGGCATCGGTGACAGGTTTATATGCATCTCTATTTGGATGAAGGGCTGCTATGAATTCATAGTAGTCAATGTATCCATCCCCGTCTCTGTCAAAGATATCGGCAACAGCGCTCATCTCCAGGTGACTGGTTGGAAACTCTAGGATTTTCAAAATAATAGTGAAGTTATGTTACTGAGGCATAATGGATAAATAAAATTGTAAGATACTGAAAACATATACCTTGGTGATTTTATACACCTATACATTGTGAAAAGATTCCTCCCACCTAGTTGATTATAGGTCACCTCACATATTAACCTTTTTTTCCCTGAATATTTAAGACCTACTCTCTTGGAAGTTTTCAGTTATACAAATACAGTTTTACCAACTAGTGTCAACATGTGTACATTAGACCCTCAGACCTTACTCATCACACAGCTGAAAATCTACACCCTTTTACCAGTCTCTCCCAGTTTCCTCGACGCACCGGCCTCTGGCAACCACTTTCCTACTCTGTTTCTCTGAGTTTGATTTTAGTTTCCAGATACAAGTAATAATTAACTCTCAATATAAGCCATACTATGTTACCAATGAAAATTTATAAGTGCTGCTATTTACAACAAAATTTTACAGAAAGGTTTAAATCATTTTTTAAAAAGTAGTGTTTACTAGTTATTTCTCTCTCAAGACACTGACTGTACATTTTAATCTTAGTGTTAAATGATCAGGATCATCAAATACATTAAAACCATTTAAAAAAAAAACCAGTTTAAATAAATCAGAACAAATGAAACCATTATATATGTGCCCTGAATTTATCTTTAATTATTATGAGGGCGAATCATTTGAAATTGCTGCTTTTCTAGATGGAAAACTACTTAATATTAGCAAATATCATACAGTTTAACTACGATTTTACTTAAGGAATATATGAGTTACATATATATGAATTCGTATATATATTCACATATGAATATATGAAATTTACTTCAAGAGTCACTTCCAGTAACATCTTCCAGGGAAATCATATCCACATGACTGAACCATCAAATAAGTGGGTGACATGTACCTTAAGAATTTATACAGAGTTCTAATGTCCTACTAATGACAATGTTAGATCAGAATTCGAACAAAAAACAAAGAGACTGACTTGCTTTTATTGATTACTCACTATATGCCAGGTAACACAATCTTAAGAACCAAATATTACTAACTTTATTATACTAATGAGCACACAGCTTCAGTGGAGGGAAGGGATATACTAATTGTGGTTACCCAATTAGTAAGTGTGCCTGACTTCAAAGCCTTAAGTTCTACCAAGGACACTCTTTTTTTGAGGGATTGACTTCAGAACTAAGTTTAAAGGTAAAGCTTCACTGGTAACAAGTTTATTGGCCCCACAATTTCAAACTGTTACATCAGTTACCATCAGCTCTCTTGGGACTTACTTGAGGAAAGAATTCCATCAATAAATTCTTGCCGGGTTATTTTCCCATCCTGATCTTTATCGATCCTCCTGAAGAAATCCATCACTCGAGACTTCTTGTGATTCATCCATCTCATGTACTTTTTGCGCCAGGTATCAAAATCAAAATGAGCAAATTCCCTCAGCTGAAAAGGACAGAGGGTATTTTGGTGGAGTTAATGCTGTGCTCAAATGAAAAACTCTATGAATAGAGTTATTTTTAAGATACTCTAGAGAGGACATGTATCTTTCCCACCTCAAAGAAAGGTATGATCTTGCAAAGGGGACTCAGAAACATTTTTCCATTAAAGTTCACTGCACTATTATCATGAGTTTTTCTTGACAAAATAAGGAAAACTAACAAAAGTCCTCAGAAAAGTCAACCTGAAAATTCCTGATGGTACCATGAGCACCAGGGTGGTCTGCCCAAAGTAACACCAGTAGTAAGTTCTATGCCACTGGGTAGCGGGCCTGGTTCAACAGCCTTGGTCTCTCTGTTATTTGCCACTCTCATTGCCCTCTTCTTCTAAAAATGTCAATTGCAAATCTGAAACTCTAAATCTCAGATAATAGTCTATACAAAATTAAACCATCTGTATTTATAAATGGTTGTATTTGCCAGGAAAACCATCAAGCAAACCTAGGTCAAGTTAGGTCCTCTCCTGAAGAGTCAGCTTCTGATTCTATTAAACTATATGCACTTTTTACTTCACTGATTCCCTAAATCCGAGTCTCACATATCAGGATTTCTTTTTCCCACTATAATGTACACACCTGAGGCATTAATTTTAGAGGTATTCACTCACATTACTTTTCTACTATCAGAAAAGCAGAAGAATCAACATTTCGGCAAAGTATCATGGTGAATAAGGACACAGGACGGCACGGTCCTGGGGGTGTGGGTTTGCTGACCTCGTCCAGCCTGTTCAAGGCGTCGTTGAGCTTTCTCCTCCTTTCCAGTGCGAGGAGCCACACCTGCTGCCATTTGCTCACCAGTAAGTTGACCCTGGGATTCTTGGTTTCGATTTGTGTCTGTGATCCAGAGGGATATAAGCTTGAGGCTGGGAAGCATTTTCCTGTTAAAATATAATCTCAGTTAGGATGGCACTTTCCAGGGTTCTGAGACATGTTGAGGCTTGGTTGGCCTTTACTGTTCCTGGCTGAGACTGAATCAGCTTAATTACTGGGTCTTACAAGTAGAAGGATCCTATTTAGATGATGCATAATGTCAAGGTCAAAATCTGTTTCACTTATTAAGGATCACATACTCCTCATGTAGATTAGAGAAATATATCTTGACAGGGGTATTTAACTGGAAAGGACTCTCAAAAAATTTATGCTTAAAACATTTTCCAGCTTAAAATCTGTGCCCATGTCAGTGACAACGAAGTGCCTTGTGATCCTTCTCTTTGTTAAGGCGTGACAGAAGAAATCACCCAGGACAGTGACACATATCTTAGAATCAGTTACACAAACCCAGCTGCTCCTCTTAGACAGACAGGCTGCAAGGAGGGCAGGCGAAAGCAGGAGACACGGGCATTCACTGGAGTCCGGGCACCTCACAAAGTTCAAGCAAATACTGAAGGCTGTGCAGAATCCTGGCTATCACCCAAGTCCGTTTTCCTCTGAGGTTGTGCATTGAGTATATACTCCCACACCCAGATGTACTGCCTTCCTACAGTTTTTTCCCCTCTTCTTTCTGGCTGCTTTTCCACAATTTTTCTGTAGCTTCACAGAACAATTATCTCAATGTATTTTCCTCATCTGCTTCACAGAACAATTATCTCAATGCATTTTCCTCATCTAACCAAATGGTTAAGTGTGGTCAAGAAAAATTACTGGCTTAACATCACATAGGAAGTTAGTGTCCAAGCTGGGATTTGCCTAGAATTCTTATCTCTCACAGGGCTATATAAAAGTATCAATAGCTAACATTTATTGAACATTTAAGTATATGCCAGGAAGTATGCTAAGTAGTTCATACACAGTAACTCATTTAATCCTCATCACAGTCTAATGAAATTATAATTATTCCCTTTTACATATGAGAAAATTGAGGCTCAAAGGGAGTTTAAGTAACTTGTCCAGGGTTACTGTTGCCCTCTGGTAAGCGGTGGGGACAGCCAGGAGTCTGTCTCCGGAGCTCTTAACCACTATGAAGGTTCCCGGTGCAATGGCATCACTACAACAGATCTGAAAACATCTTTTAAAAAATTAAGGCACTATTCAGAAATACACAAAAATGTATGACCTAAATTGTCCTTGTTTTAAATCCCTAAGCTAGCTGTTATTGTTTTTCATGTCATTTTGTTGGGTCAAGGTAGCCTGAGAATTATGTAAATCAGAGCCTGAAGTCACATGAACATGGGCAAAATCCATCAGATTACTGGTCACTAATGAACAGTTAGGTCATGGACTTCGTCCAGGTCATGGTTATTTCTGTTACATTCCACTTTACAGTTATTTAATAATTCTTATTATAAATAAATTCTTATTTATATCACAGAAGCAAAATGAGACAATTCAAAGGGGATAATGATTCCTGTTCTGATTGCAAGTTTTTCCAATTTCTTCTAGCTAATCTAAAAGACTTCAAGTAAATAATGTTACATATAGAAACCTGGATATATCTGCTTCTTTATTTTTAAATAAGTTGCTACTATACTTGAGCCCATGCATTCTTTTAAGGAAACCTTTTATGATAGAGAGCTTATGTAGAATCACCAATCGCCCGAAAATTTCAAACAGTAATTCAAAATAAAACTGACTTTCTTGTTTAACCATATTTATTTTAAATAAATTGACCACTGCTTACTTCCTGCTTGTCCCTTATCCAAGACCGGGATATAGGACTGCAATGAAGAGGGATCAGCTGCTCTCCTCTTATAGGTCTTGGTAACTTTATCCACATCGGGTTGTTTTCTGGTCATTTCCTCCATGAAGGTCTGAAACGTCAATGTCAGTTAAATGTCAATTAAATGCAAGTATACCAGAGAAAATCATCTTTAGAGATGAACTAAAAACAAAAGGATAAAAGGAGCATGCAATTATTTCCAAAAAAAGAATAAACCATTGGGTTTCATCTTTAGGGGAAAAAACATCTAAACCATTGTAACATAACATTTAGTCATTTCTGAGGACTACAAAATGTTATAGTTGATAATGACAGCATTACAAAAGTTATTTTCTTTAGTTTGAAAACCATGCACAGGAGCAACTGTATGAATAACATAACTGGTCTCTACAGCAGCTCAGGTCAAGCTTCCAAGCTCTTGCTGAAGCATCTTAAAGTGAGCATTTGTCTGTAAAGAAACGAGTTAACTGGAGCGGTCCCTAGGACTTTTCTGTGGTGCCTTTCATCTACGTATTTAAAATATTTAATTATTGGCTTTAATATACAATATTGTAAAGCATCCACATTAAATGTAGATATATTCTAAACATTCTTGTGGATAAATATGCTATGCCAGGAGGGTAAAAGTTATTCAGACCGAAGTTCATATTTAAAAGGTTTGACTATCTTGCCATTTCTTCGCTCCTCTCCTAGGCTCATTGTTATTGCTGACAAGCCGTCCCCATATCTGGACTATGCGGCAAAGGCATACACTCTGGGGAAAAGCGATGGGGAAAGGAGGGGGCAGATATCAGGGAAAGTGGAGTGACACATTTTTGGAATATTTGTCACACAGGAGACCACTGATCACACATGGCTTGAGACACTTCAGGGCCATTATAGACATTGATATTGTATACTTTTATTAAAATAAAATAGCAATGTTAACTGCTTATCCAACGAAGCTTTGTAAATGTATAACAAAGAAGCAAACAAAGTCCCTGTGGTGTGACACCTACCATCTCAGAATTTAAAACAGGCAGGATACACAGGAGAAGTAACTTTTTTGAGGAAGAGGATGTGTTCCCTTGCAGATATGATTATTTGAAGTACTGATCGTTATTTTGGGAGATGTTTAGCAGCACACAGTAAGAAATGCAAGCACGGAGCAATCAACAAAGGGTGGGTGAGCAGAATGAAAGCAGCAGAGGGCTGAGGATGAAATGCAGGGAGGGCTGGTGTTCAGGAAGCAAGAGGTAGGGCGGGAGCCACCCTGAGACAGGACCACAGGAGGGTGACTTCACAGAGGCTAAAAAGGGGAGAGCCGTGGGAGAGCCGAGACCATCAACGTTAAGTGACGGCAAAGTGGGACGTTTTAGGGCAGTGGTAAACTTAGAGACCTAGTTGGAAGACTTGATGAGTGTGCACGAGGGGGTGCGGTTTACAAGCAGGAAGCACTTCTGAGAAGCATGACAGTGAAAGAAAGAAAACAGCTGGGAGGACAGGGCTTAGGTTATTTCTTTTACCTGGTGCTCCGCAATGAGGGCTTTCACCTCTTCAGTGTCCTGGGGGATGACTTCCTTATCCTTATCACTCAGTGTGGTTTCGGCCCATTGCAGCCATGCCAGCAGAGCTTCCAACAGTTCCTGTGTAGCGAGGAGCCCGGCCAGGGTGCCGGCTAACCTCTGCTGATACTGCTGGGCGCACGCCAGCACCTGTTGGGGAGACAGACATCGCGCTGCAGCCCCTTCATCACAGTCAACAATCTCATTGATGGAAAAGAGACAAAATGTAAGAGTGAATTAGCCTCATCCTGGGCTGCATGCCTGCTACTTGTGGTCTTCCTAGAGCCACCGAGACCCAGCCTGGGTTCTGTGGTTTCCTGCCACGATGTGTGCCCCCTTCAGAAGTTGAGAGATGCCCATCCATCACCTGGGCTGCCTTTTGCTGCCTCATTTAAGTTCAAACAGCATTCTACACATGATCAAGTGTGCTTCCTCCATGTAACAGAGTAAAAATAAAAATAGCTAAGATCTTAAATACAGCATTAAATCATGTCAGGTATGCAATTCACTCCACAAGCATATACTACTCTGAAATACTACTATTCAAGTACTGGATTATTCAACAGACACAGCGTGGACGTGGGACAAAAAGAGATTCAGTGAACCAAATGACTGCCTTGTCATTATTTGAGGACGTAGATGCAAAATTCCTTTAACTTTGGAATGAAAAGTGGATTGGAGGGGCAGCCAGTAAGCACAGGAAGGGCGCTTTACAGAACATGTGTCTGCGCAGAGGCCTTGTGTTCCCACAGCCGGAAGTGCTTCTTAATTTTGAAGTATTCCTAACTCCCTATTCTCGAAGCCACTGCTGCTCTAATGATGATCTGAGATGCACAGACCTCCTCAAACCTGGCCCAGATGAGCGTTATCCAGTGCTTAAAGGAGGTGCTGCAGTCAGGGGGGCAGAGGGCCAGCAGAGCGTTTCCCATGCTGGTAGCTTTATTTAGTTCTGCTTGTTTTTCTTCCAGTTTCTTCATGAATTCCTACAGCAGAAACAAAGACTTCAGTTAGCTGCTGGCCCTGGCTGAAAACACAACTCCAGTGACGTTCATTTGACTGTCAGAGTTAAACAAGAACTTCAACTGGTTTATTCCCAGCTGGAATTGGGACATTAAGAGAGGAGACGGGACAAACCTACAAAATAACATACTTTCTAACATGTATTTCAAAATATAAGTCCAGGATGATATCTCATGCTTCACAAAATACATTAAATAAAAAACACACTCCCTTAAACTTGGACATATTATGATCATATTAATGGAGAATAGGATTGGGAGAAAGAGTAATACCAGAGATAGAAATAATATTTATTGCAAAAAAATTTCTAACAAATAAGATAAGGAAGTTAGTATTTAAAATAGCATTAACCGTGTCAGGAATGAGAGCAGTAAGTACTAAACCAAAGTGCCAAGGAAGACAGAAGGTTGGGCAGGGAACTTATACATGTTTGGGAGTGTTGGAGAAAGGGAAGTGTCCAGGCAGGAAAGAGGCTGGAGGCAGGAGGCCAGCCTGCGTGAGAAGAGTCCCTTCCAGAGGCCAGTAAGAGCCATATTCTGCCTCAGCAGGATGAGTAAGTTTCGAGAGGCTTCTTTCAAATCAACCTGTTTACCCATGTCTCACATATATAACTGTACTTTCTACCATCAGAACTGTATGATGGATGCATGGATTGTGGAACTCTGAACATGGGTTAAAAAATGAAGACCTAAAATAACGTAAAAAAACCAACAACCTCACACTGAATTTCAAGCATCCTGCCTGGACCCCCAGTGGGCTAAGAGGGACCCTGACTCACAAGGGTTGCCAGACGCTGCTGCACGTAGCTGTCACTTGTGTGACAGGGCGGGCGGGGCAGGGTATCATTAAAAATACGGATGTTTACTATAGTGTCAGTGACCTTCAGTTTTTAACTTCTGTGAAGCAGCTCTGTCATGTAGCTCCTCCCATGGTATTTTGCTATGTTAAATACTTTGTTTACATACCTACCTACTACACATTAAGGTCCACAAGATCACAGGTCTGTGTCTTATTCTTATTTCGTGTCTTAGTGATTGAATAAATATTTCTTTCACCTTTTAATTAGCATTTTTTGCTGCTGTGGAGTCAAGGTTCGATTAACAACAGGCTCCACTAACATGACCTACTTTTTAAATATCATGACCTACTGTTAAAAATATTTTAATTTTCCCCAATATGGGCCCCTTAAATAAAAGAAAAACAACTTTACAAGGAAGAGAAAACCAGAAGTTAGCAACAGCTGTGCTTTTCCAGATGCCGGCGGATCGGATCACGTACTCTTCACTGTTCCTGCCTGGGAGGGCCAGGGCCATGCCGGGAAGGCTGCGGACGGGACCGTTGCCTGCCCGCCACGCGCCGGCTCTGCTCATCGGCTGAGCACTGCTCCCAAGGTGTGTACTCATGGGGGAGAGCTTGCCTTTTTTAAAAGTTGGATTATACCGAGAAGTTTCTAGTCCTGGGGCTAAAAAAACTAAACATTCTGCATTGCTTCTAATGGTGAATGTGCAAAGGAAAGCAAAGGAAATGAGAAAGAATGAATAATGTTAAATGTTACTACTAAGAATTTTAACTAAGAATTAGAATATTACTAAGAGGTATTACTATGGATTATGCAACATGTTATCACTAAGAAGACCTTTATAAAATTACATGTTACTTTATGCTATTTTAAAATATTTAAAGATGATTTGTTGTAAAAACCACTACCCCTGCTCTGGATACTTGACTCCTGATGTTTTTGGGGAGCTCCTGGTCCTGCTGTGAGGGTGGTGACCCCACTAGCAGGCTCCCTTCTGGGGGTGTCAGACCTGGAGCCTGGGCTTCAAGAGGCTATGCTGGGACCCAACCCAGGTATATTAGTAGAATTCAGTGCTGGCTAATGGTCAGCCTAGCATAAACTAGTTTTTCAAAATATTGAACTGAATCAAAAATTTATAGTGAATTTGATGTAATTTCCCCACTTCTGCATTTAAACTTCAACTTTAAATGTCATTCTTTCAGATAATATTATACAAGCTTGCATCACTTTTACAGACAAAGCAATATTTTATTGCTAAATGTGAGGTACCCCATCACTGAGAGAGCATAATAATTAAAGAAGTTTCCACAGATGATGTAACTTACGCTATACTAAAATTAATTATGTATTTCCAATCTGACCTTGAAAGATGAGGTTATTCAGGAGTGATAAACAGATCTCTTCAAGTTAATAGGAAATGCTGACATCAGTACTACACTGAGTGTTAGCATTGCAAATTCCTGACTTTTAGAGTCAAAGGTTAAAAAAACATCTGTTGAGAGCTATCTGGACCATTCTCTTAAGGGTTTTTTGCTAGTTCTATGCGTTGCCACAGGGAAGAGCATGACCTGAAAATTCAATGGCCAGATTTTCACTTGGCTAATTATTCAGTGGTATATCTACTTATATTCCTTAATTTGTAATTTATACTATGAGCTACTTGTCAAAAGAATTTAAGGTGGCTCTTGATTAAAAACAGAATAAGCAGAGGCTTAAAAATAAAATTTGAAGACAGTTGTTAAATTACCTGCTTGTCTTGCTTACAAAGGTCAAATTATTAGCTCACAGTCCTAATGGTGTAATTTTATAAATGCCAAACTGCTCATTAAAGAAGCTTCATCTTTGAAATGCACATAAAAATGCAACAAACTGACCAATTCTGTCAGAAACCAAATAACCCCCTATAAAAATCAATGTGCTTTCTTAGAGGAAATAGATTTTAGGACAGATTTTTAGAATAACAACCTTCTTTACAAAGAAAACAAAAAGACAGCTACACATACATGTGTGGGCACATGGAGACACATTTCTGAAAGCAAGGAGGACACTGATAAATTCTAATATGTACTGAATTTTAAATTATTTCTCAGGAAGGAAAATATTCAGGCAGTTGCTATTTGCAGTCATGAGTCTGTTTTGCCTATTTTGTTTATTTTTTCTCATTGAGTTTTACTTAACATTCACGTAACTCACTTTATGCTGATCAATGAGAGTCCGAAGACCATCCTCATCCTCTGGGAGAACGTCATGGAAAAGGAGGGTCTCCTCTGCGTCTGCCAGCCACTCCAGCAGGGGGTGCACCATGTGGTGAAACTCCTCCGCCTAATGGTGGGCACACACACACACCCCCCAAAAAGGAGCCCCAAATATGCTTGTCAGTATAGCAGATGCTTCCTCTCAGTGGGAAATCAACAGTCTTACATTTAAACTGATTAAATTAATTGCACATTATTCCCATTAAAAAGATAAAGCTATCGGTGCTGCATTTTACAAACATAAGAGAAACATCTAATATAGCAAAAAGGCCTCTATGAAGAGTAATTCCATTTTAACCATCTGATTTCAGATGAATGGCAGCCTGCTACACATCCCAGCTGAAAAATGGCCCAAGATGACTCAAGCAGCGCTTTTACGTGAGGGTGAGAGAACTTCCCTCTCTGAGTAATTTAGCGGGGTTGGGAGGAGGGCCGAGGCAAGGATGCTGAGAACTTCCTTCTCCACGGCTGTCCTGCTTAAGAAGGGAGGCGCTTCACGGTTCTTCGGAGAGGGTCCTTCCCACACTACGCCCGCTGTGAGCGACGTGACTTGTACCTGACGCAGAGCCGCCTCCAGCCGTGTTTGCTTTGATACAGAAAGCGCGCACACGGTGTCCCAGCGTGTGCTTAACTCCTGCATCTGGACCTTGACCCAGGAGGAGTCGTCTCGGCTGCCTTCAGTGAGCTCTCGGGCCGAGCGCTCCAGGGCCTGCACGCTTCTGGCCCTCTTCTCCAGCTCTTTTTGGAAGACCTAAGAAGACCATATTTTTATAAAAACTGATTTTTTAAATTAACCAAACCGCAGTAGTAACACATACTGTTTGAAATACACATGTGCCTAACATCACGTATAGATCTCCAAGACCCACACTGTAATGACCCATATTTTTCACAGAGGACAGGACCACTGCTCCCAGTGGATAGAACACTGTAAAGAACAACTCCTGGGTGAGGCTGTTAGATCTTGTGACACTCTCCTGAATAGCCTTATTTTTTAAATGACATATTGGATTTAAACAGTGGTGGCCAACCTTCTTTACTTGAAGTCCACAAAAAAAAAAGCATCAAATCCTTTTTCCCCATTCTTTAATATGGTGTCTCAATTTCCTCTCAAACATAAGTGTGCGTGCCAACTCTGTGCTGACTACAGCACTACTCATAATTAGTAAACGTATCTAAGAGACTAACAAATAACTCAGCAATCCTGGGGCACTTCACAGGGTCTTAGAGATAATGGTCTTAGAGGAATACCACAGGGAGTTGGCAGATAGCCCGTTTTTTCTATAAGATGCCTTTGTCCTTCACAGCATCCTGAATACCAGCCCATAATGCCAAATTTTTGAGACCTAAATCTTTATCTGTCACCTTGGAAGAAAAGCTTTTTTCCTTTCCACTTAATTTTGATGAATTTCAATGTGTTATGAGTTAAACTGACTTCTTTTGGCCACAGACTTAATCCAAGAAATGAATCCAGGGTACTTCATTTCTGATTCAAGAGTCTGTATATGCAACTAGATCTTCCAAATAACCAATCTTACAGGTAGATTAAAATTAACTCACTACTTCTCTAAAAAAAATCATCAAATGGATATCACCAAGCACATTTTATAATTTTGGCTATGTCCATGATTTTCTATTCTGATCATCAGATCATAAAAGTGAGCCCATCAAGAACAATCCAAACATAATGTGATGAATTCTTTGCTGATTTCACTCTAATGGTGTTAAACGAGATGTGCCTGTAGGTAACAGACACACGTACACATACACGCGCACACACACATGCACAGAAGATACATTGTCTACTCATTTTGTGATAGGACTAATTCAACAATTCTGATTAGACCTTCCAATGTACTCTGTATACTTAAAACTTCTTCTTTAGCCTTCCAATTGTATTACTAATGCTGAATGATTAATTCATTCTTGATGACCTTCAATATATAAAAAACCTGGCAAGTGCCTAGCGGAGTAAATATTTAGACAGTGAGATTATACAAATGGCATTTATGTAAAAAGTAACATTACACTATTCATTACTCATTGAATGAATGCCAGGGAATGGAAAAGTTTGTATTAATCATGCACAAAACATTTGTCTCAATATAAGCAAGCTACATAATTTTTACAATGTTTTATTTTTGTGGGATTGATCAATGTTCTTCACCTATTCTTTTATTTTCTGTTAATATGAAAATATAACACACTCTCTTTTATGGATATAATGAGAGAATAGAACCAGAAAAGGGGAAATAAATCTACAAAAGGACCGAATATTTAAAAAGAACAGTAAGATAAAAATGGGAAAACCAGGGAAGTATAAAGAGAACATTTTTAAATGAAATAAATTTTCTGAACTCAAAAAATGACAGGGGGAATATAACATGAATTCAAGGACAATGCTGTAAGATATTTGTAAATAAAGTCAACCCTGATACAACCATTTTACATTAGTGCCATGCCTCATATTCTTTTTAGGGTTCTTTAAGCTGTAATACAGCATTTCATCATAATATAGGGTGTTACACTCAGTATTACCTGGACATCCTGAATATTACCTTGGCTTGAACAATAGTTTAGCATAACATACCTATCAGCAAATAGCAAGGAAACTAATTTTCTTAAAGTAATAATCAAATCCCTCATAATACATGTACTGTAGTTCAGTGGGCAAGGTTCACACAATTTTTAAAAAAAGGAAAGTCATAGATCAAGTTACAAATTCATACACTTAGGCAATGCCCAAGTTCCAGGCCACTGAATGAACAATTTTAAATCATATCACATCATTATTTATGTGAATAACAAAAGACAATAAAACAGTCTTGTAACATGTTTTAAAGAACCAGACAATGAACTCACTTTCCAAGTTCTAAAAGATTTTAGATATGGTAATTATAAACAACAGTATTTCACTGATCCTAAAGTAATTTTCCTGTATCACTTTTAAAATTGGTTTCCTGATTCTGGCTCAAATGTACACATATTTCAATATTAAAGACTGTTGCATAGTATGATACATTGTCTCTAGATTTTAAAAGGCTAAGTGGTTACAGTTTCCTCTATACTCAGAATTATCAAATGAGATCAATAAAATGTCCCAGATAACAATACCTTGTGATTCTCGATCATAATAACCAATAAATTAACGTCTCCATAGACAGGCTGGTCTTCTGCCAGTTGGGGTTCAACTCTATACAACCAGTCATTGAGGGCCTGAAGGGCATCTGTGAATTGTCCAGAGAATAGCAGGGCTTCTTCCAACTTGTTTTGTCTGAAGAAAAAGGTAGATAAATCAGTCTGGACAACAAAACCACACTGTATATCCAAACATGTAAAACTCATTCATGAAGTCTGAGCAGAACTCAAGAGGAAAAACAACATCCTGGTATTCATGGCTGTTTCTTTGCTTTCCTTAGAAAATAAAACTTCTTTTCAAACTTTCTCTCTTATTCTTTAAATACACGGCACCTGTTCCAGGAAAATTCTCCCATCACACCTCTGGAAATCACTGACCCTTCAGTTTCTTCAGAATAATTGGACTTTTTAATTAAAATTTATTTTCAGATTTGTGTATTAAACTATCACACATTTCTGGGGTATACAGTTCTATGAACTGTAGCATATGGACAGGTTCACATAGCCATCATCATAACCAAGACATAGAACAGTTGCATCATTCCCCAGATCTCCCTCCTGGTGTTTGTTTATAGGCACGGCCAGCCCCCATCTCTAAGCCCTGGCATTCAGGGATCTGTTTGCCATCACCAGTTTTATCTTTTCAAGAATGTAACGTAAATGAAAAACATTTATATGATATTGTTAAAAGAATATAACCTTCTGAGAGTGTAAATTTTAAAGATTCTTAAAAACTAACAACTAAAAAAAAGCTCATTATGAAGTTCCCTACAACTGAATATAATATTCTATTTAATCTTAATACTGACAAAATCAATGAGAAATGTGAAAACATTTCTAAGATATCTGAAGTCTTCTACTACTATACTGCTTTCTTAAATACTTAACAATTTGGCAGTAAGTTTAGGGCCTTCACAGATGAAGTGTCATGAGAAAGGAGATTAGAAAGGGGGGATAGAATGTGGAAGGGAACAGCAGGGTCAGAGCAGGACCTCACAGGCCACATGAAGCAGCCTGTGTTTTAGTTCACACCCAGTGTTAAGTGCTTGAAGGGTAATAAAGCAGGGGAATGACAAGATCCTATTTACAATTTTAAAAGACCATCCTAGTAGTTATTATGGAAAGTGGATTAAGAAGGACAAAGCAGACCTGAGGAGACCAGTCAGAAGGCAGTTGCTCTAGTCAGGTGTGAGAAGACTGAGGCTTGGAGAAGGATATCAGTTCTGAGTGAACTGAGAGGTCAAAAATAAATAATAATGAACAGCAAAGCCTTCTCAGTGCAGGAACCATGTAAGTGAGTTTATTACAGATGAGCAGAAGGTCCCAGGCAAAGGAAAGGCTCCAAAAATGTTCCCACCAAGCACCACTATCGTGTGTTTGAAAGAGGCCTACAAAGTAACCAAACTGTCTTAAGGAACATTCTACCTTTCCACAGATTTTCCACAGACGATATTCCATTTTTCTCTGAGTTCACTCAGCATGTCATCCAGTTTCTGGTTGTCATCAGCCAGGGAGGTTTTCTCCTTCAGAGAACGCCCAGTTCTGGTGGTGGTGTCATAGACAGAATGCTTGGCTCCCAGTGATTTTTGAAACTCCTACATATTTAACAAGAAAACAATGTGTGTTTCTACTTGGGACTAATAAATAAACAGGTAAGAGACATTAAAAGAGGCATTCCTTAATAAATGGAGTCTAAACTTTTCTGGAAGACATCAGCAAATAATCAAGTCAGAGTGTAGTATTGCTGTACTCTAGAACACAACAGGGGAGAAAAGAAACTTCAGATTTGTAAATCGAAGGGTTTATTTTTCTCAGAAGCCAGGCGTCTGTCTCTAAGAGCACCTACTTTTGTCAGAAAATATTTCCAAGTAAAACAAATCCCGAATCTTTTGTGGTTATAAACCAGAAATAGCATACTAGTTCTGATAAAATGTAATAGCTAATAAACTACTGAACAACCCAAGGGTTTGGAGAGGAAAATGTAGTTAATGCTCTGTGAGTAACTATAGGTCCAGTGTGGACAGAGTGACTCAATAATGCATACATTTACTACAGGGCTTTTATTGTCCAAATAGATTTATTTTCACACATTTCAGATATTCACAACAATGTTACATGTGATTTTATCTGTGAGCCAGGAGAAGGGACACATAAGCACTGGATCTGTGGATTCCTGTGTTTGGACCTATTGCTCTTTCTATTCACACCATTTGGGGAGCTGATATCTCTCCTCCCCACGGCTTTAATGCCCAACCAGAGTCTCAAAAAGATCCACAAATTATTTTTCCAGGATTGAACAGTTACACTGTTAACATGGCATCTACACTTTGTTGACCAGGTTTGTGTCTATGTACGTGCATGGGGGGTGAATTCTCTTCCTTCTACCGAACTCAAGCACAGGTTTTTCTGGAGCAGAGAGCTATTATGTCTGTAGGCCTCTCATTACCACCTTGTATATTGGGTGTGTTCATAGGTACGTAATAGAAAGACTGAGACAACCACTATTGAATATTTAATCTCAGGGATGAGAAGAAGGAAAGGTCAACCTAACAGGCCGTTTATGAGCTCATGAAATATCATGGAAACATTAATACAATGATTCTCAACTCTGGTAGCATCTTAGAGTCATCCCAGATAGTGAAATGTTAAACAAATGGGTAATTTTCCATAATAACCTTGGTTATACTTACATAATTAAGTTTTTATTGCCTTTAAAATGTAGACATTTTATGACTAAAATACTTATTTTGTCTTGCAATAGGTGGCAGCTACATCTGGCAATTTTTAGCAATAAATACCATTATAATATCACACTTTCTGCATTTTATCTTCTATAATTATTATTTTTTCATGTTATTTTAAAGAGAATGTTAGTTTTAGAATCACAGTATTGACAGATTTTCTTCACACAACAGACACCTAATAACTGTAATAGTTGAATACAGGATAGATTAAAACTTTTTAAGGTCAGAAAGCACCCAAATGATGACTAGAAAAGACTTCTTTTAAGATTGGCTGTATGTGTCTTGCACATTTCAGAGAAATGGTTGACTTGAGTAATAGGTCACACTAGATGGGGCTCTTCACATATTCTTATTTCTAGGATTCTCCAACTTAAATATGCAATATACATTCGTAAGACTACATGACACCACCTCTTCAAGTTCAAGTTCAAATCTGGCATTCTGTTTTGAGAAAGAGGCTCTCAGCTCTCCCTCAGAGGGGAAGGAAGGTGCTGCTCGCTATCACTGTGTTGCCAGTATTGTGTGGGACAGCTCCCAGGCAGAGGGTGCCAGCAGAAGCAGCCATTCAAAAGCCCTCATCCAGCCAAAGAGTGGACCCTCAATGCTTCCTTCCATCCTTCTAGGATCATGACCCCTTAAGGTCAATTAGAACGAAAGATGGGAGCAACCGACCTGCATGAAGGTGACAGCCAGAATTTCCCAATGATGATGAACCTTACATCGCCCCAAGATTTTCCAGTCTTTTAAATATTATGTTTCAAGTGATGACTTACATGCAGAAGCCTAAAATTGTAAAAGCGTTAGCAGAAGCCACTCTCCTTTGACCCAATTCCTCACCCTGAGGGTGATTTATAAACAGAAATTCAAAAGAGGTGGGGAAGACAGGAGGAATGCCCTTTGCATGCCATGTAGTAGAAAATACAAAATACAACATTTCCACATCTTCTAGTCTGCACAAGGAAGCTACTGGCCATGTGTCTTTGAGGGTCAGAGTGGAATTTCATATACCCGCATATACACACACAACAAAATACCAATTTTCCCCACTGCATTGTTTGAAAGAATCTACATGGCAAAATACATATTAAATTTTAATATAGAATTATTTTCTACATGGTATGTGGTCTATGAAAGAAATTACCGGACAAGATAGTGGTGAAAACTTGGGATACCCTACAAATCCTTTATATGCTTTATATTGTGGAAGATTCCAGTTTTACTGCTGAATGTTTTCTCTTACCAGTTGTTCACCCTGGAATCATAATGGAACAGCCAGAGTAAAGATACTACTGCCACTTCGCCAGTGTAAAGGGCAACTGGTTTACATGTAATGTAGGTACACACTGGACAGCCTTTTTTCTCCAGGGCTGACTAAATACACAGTTGTGTGACAATTTAAAAGTGATCTTGACATATATAATGACACAATAGGCTTTTGTTAATTGTAGACCCACCTTGTGCTGTGCAAGTTGTGTTTTAATTTTGTCTGGATCATTGGCAATTTCCAGTTCAGAATCCAAAGAGTTTTCTGACTCTTCCAGCCACTCCATAAGTTTACTCCAAGCTTCGTGGAACTGTAAAAGAGATTCATGTCTCTGTCCAGGAAACTTTCTGGTATACTTACTATGTTTAAAATCAAGTCTGTTTTTCAAATAGAAAATTCATATTCGTGGAAATGTTAAGTTATTAAGTCAAAACTTCCTCTGAAGAAGAAAATAATAATAGTTTCATCAGCAGATTATGCAGTGTCTAGTTAGTGCTTGGCTTTTGTGGCCACGTCCCAGGGTCACTTCGCTGTAATGCATTCAAACACATGAACTTCAATAAAAATAGGAATGAGCCCAGAAACAGTTAGGGAGCACTAGGGAGAACTTGCCCTCCTTTCCTTTTGCTTAATAATTAATGTAAACTCTCAGAGAATTTTATTTGTCCAGAGATGTCTCTTGAGCTTACTCCTAAGGTGTTTAATTCCTATGTTAAGAAAAAGGAACAAAAGGAAGAGAGGGAAGGATAAAGTTCATAAATTGGTTTTGAAAAGGAACAAGAACAAAAAAGAGGCCATTCCAACTCTAATACAAAGGTAGTCTGACATCTTTATTGCTGCCATCAAAATCCTCAAATGAATGCCTGTGCCTCACATATATATAGGTTTTATGATATGTAAGAGTACCCACAACCCTTGAATTCTAACAATGCAATTCTTTTTGGTATCTTGAAATATTCTGGTGCTATGCGTATTCGATTTCAACCAGTCTCTTTCCTGTTTATCACAGACAACTAGTGTTCCCTGTGTACTCTTTTTGGATGCCAAATTGTGGAACTGGCTATAAATTTTTTCTCACAATAAACTTAAGTGAATGTACACATAACAAAACTATGTAATCAAAACCTGTTTTATATCAAAGCACATTAACGATGAAATAACAAAGGACATTTAACAATAAGAACAATAAGAGCACACAACCACACAGCTGCAAAGGCCCACTAGAGGCATCTCATCAGACCCGCTCTCCTTGTGCACCCCTCTCGCAGCTCTGACCCATTCGAACATGAGAACCAAAGGCTGTAACAGGCACGTGGACTACCAAAGTTGGAGAACGAGATCAACATCTGAGCCCAAAACGGAGATATTAGGATAGTAAAAAATAAATTAAAGAAACAGCTAGTCATGGTGTTTGGTAGACTTTCTGCAAATATATAGGCTATAACAATGGTAAGTTTAGTGATATAAATGCACAGGTTTTAAGGCTGGCCCTGCTTTCAAAACTACTTTTAAGCCAGATAAAACAGAAGAAATGCTATCTTTTGGCATCAAAAACAGTAGAAAATCCTTATAAAGTTAATTAGACAGTATGAGAAAATAAAATTGACTAACTGGAGAAAGAAGCAAGAGGGTGGGCCACTGACTACTGGCATCCAAGAGACTTTCATAAATTAGACATTCATAATTCAAGAAATGCCTACACTATAATAACACTGCTACATATGTGGAAAGAAAATATCAGGTTCATCATTAATACTGTCTTAAACATTTTAGAGACTGACTTTATTCTAGAGACTCACTTATAACAAGGAACATATCACACATCCCACTCAGAAAAGGGATCTATGGCATGTAACCCTGTAACAATGTGATTTGACATTTCTAAAGCCTTTAACAAATTTATGCTGATAGTTTTAAACAATGAAACATTTAACTTCTGTATATTCTGCATCATCCAACTGAGCTCCCCCAAAATAATGAAGTCCAAATCCAGTGATAGAAAATGCAACTGAATGGGGCAAGACAAGTCACTGCAAAATACAGCTGCAATATTATAATAAAATTTCTAGTAGAATTCAAAAAATATAAGCCAAGCAAGGCGGGTGGATCTGTCTCCTTCCCGGAGTACAGAGACACATAATCTTACCTCTTCTCTGTGTTAGTCTAGAATGGAATACTAGTAACAGCCAACACAGACACAGCATAGGCCCTGTCACAAAACTGGCTCTCTCAGCTGATTGTGAAGAAAGTTTGGCTGGGGAATTAAACAAAAGGTAGCAATACAATAATTATAAAGTATGATGTCTTATTCTGGCTACAGAGTGGAGGGAAAGGAGAAAGAGAAAATCAACCAACCCAGTAGCAAAAACGCTGGGCCTCTCTTGGGGCCTTAATGATAACAGCCCTTTGACAAAGTCAAGCAATAATCAATCAGTCGTTTAAAGATTAGTCCCCAGGGCCTGAAGTGGCTGCCAGGTCAAAAAACAATGTCATCACCCAAACTTAGGTCGCAAGTCTTTTTAGGAAATAAATACCCTGGCTTTGCGCATGCATGTTACACCTAATGCAGTCTGCAGTAAAGGTACTTTAGTGACACAATGTATATTTAAACAGGTAGAACTGATTTATTGTCAAGCTCAGGAAATTTTTACAAAGGTCTACCTGCTTGGCCCTCTTCCTTGCATCATCCAAGGATCTTCCTCTTTCTACCAACCGTTGAACCACTTTTTCCCATCGACTTTGTACACTGATCAGTAGATTTTTAATTAGGACAACATCTTGTTTCTGACTGAAATACTTCAGGTGGGTTCCAGTTTTGTCCAGCTCTATTATCTGATCACGGTGAGAATTTACTTCATTGGCAAAGACCTTTCCCAAAAAAAGGGGTATAATTAGAAACAAAGGGAAAGCTGATTAATCTTAAAAATGCTTCTGGTGTCATAAGCTCAAACTGTTTCAAAGGACAAAATTAAGTTTTCAAACTACCAAATTCATGCTTCTGACATTAAAACAGTCTGTTGTCTAAAAAGTCTGAAATGAGAATATTACTCATATGAGTTACAACACACCTTGTGTTCGTCCATTTGAAATAAGACTGTGTCCAAGATAAGACTTGGCCGAGAAGCTACATTTAGGGTCTGTTCAGCCTGGGTAAGCCACTTGATAAAGTTTTGGAGAGAACTGTGGAACTCCAATGCCAAGTTGAGGGCCTCTTCCAGTTTAGTCTGCAGAGACAGATTATTATGGTACTTGACGATATTCAAGGCTCTCTCCCTGCCCCCACCAGTTTAAGCACTCTCTGGCAGATGCGCTTCCCATCCACATTTTACTTATGCATGATCTGTATTACCCAAACAGTTCATGAACGTAGTGGGCCTTCACTAAAATACTGGCAAACCAAGACCCTTTAATACAGCGAGAAGCATCTCACTGCAGCTAAAAAGAACAATTTAATATACACTGAAATTGTGGTTTGGGGGCAATTAACTCCAGAACACAACTATTAAACAGAATGTGTAGAAATAAAACTTGACATTCATATGATTAATTTTTGGTGCCAAAATACTATGAAATATGTATTATGCTCTGTCAATAAGGGCATATAATCTAGTACTTCTAGCCTATCCTTTTTCTTAGGGTATTAAACAGTAATTTTTAATCCTTACTTGTGGACTTCTGTTAAGTGCATATTATATAAACAATCATCTTCCTCTCTCCTACATACATTAAAAGTGTTACCTATTAAACTTGATCTATGATATACCTTTATCTGTGTTTGAATAGATTCCTTTAACTCTGTTCTTCTGTGTTAAGACAGAATACAATTTTCAAATGACCCCATGTAACCTCTACATGTACAAAGAAAATCTAAGCATGGATCATTAAAACATGGATCAACAGACTGTTCACTAATGATGCTACTCAGAGATAAGGCAAAACCCATGAAACAAAACCACCAATACATTCATTCTATTATATTAATTAAGGCACATACTTTTCTTTCATTGAGTTTGGTTTCCACAGATTCCCATTTTTCTTTCAAGTTATTTATGTCTTGGTCAATATTTGTCTCTGCAGATTTGGGGCACCTTGCAAGCGTCTGCTGGCCTTTCTGCATCAGGCTTCTATATGTTTCTTCTTTAACATCAAAGGCAGCACAGATTTCCTAAACAGAGATATCCCCCCAAGTTATATCATTTTTAAGGGAATAAAATCTAAGAATCCTTTATCCAGTACATCAATTTCAAGCCTCTTATTATGTAGTCATCACCATCTAGCACAAAGAATAACCCTGACACATTCAAACTTTTCATTATTATTGAAACAACACTTAAATATAGAGCTACATCCTGTCCACCAAGCAAACTCAGAAATGGCGCTATCAATGGCAATCCACTCCAGCACGCTAAGGTTTGCGAGAAGTATTTTTAATGTTACCAAGAAAGCTTTCACTGTACAGTAACCAGTCAGTTCTGTGACCCTAGGCAAGAAATTTAACCTCCCCGAGCCTCAGTTTCTCTTCTGTGAAATGGTTTCTCTCCTGAGACTATGATACAATGACTAGAATATTTTTTGGTATAATTTAATTTCATACTCTGAAGATATACAGGGGATTGAAAGCAAAGACCCAATATAGTGAGACATTTAAGTTGATTATTCAGAATTTGGAATCACAAAAGCCAAACTGTGACACTATGAGTATTATTTTCCTTTATAACATTCTTAAAGCTTTTAACTGGGATGCAGTACTTTTTCTACAAAGAATATTTTTTAAACTGCTATCAACAAATTCAGAATTTAAGATCAGTAAAATAACACCTACATTTGTGTAAAAAATTTAGACCAGTTCTATTCTACTGATTCAATTATAACTGCATTATAATTATTTTAAAATATTGAATATTTTAAAAACTCTGGTGGGTCAAATTATAGCTACCACAGAAAAACTGTTTATTCTATATCTAACACTTAACTTCATAATTTTTAAAATTAAGATATATTCATAAAATTCATCATTTTCAAGTGCACATCAGTATTTTTTAGCATATTCATAAGAATGTGCAACCATCACTATTAATTCCAAATTTTTGTCATCTCAAAACTTTGTGATTTCTTAAACCTTAAAAAAAGACAACTTTCTAAACATACATATAATATCACCTACTAAAAGCTCTTAATCCTAAAGCAAGACTTTTAAATATATCTCTTGAAACTGTAATATTTCTAATACAACCAAAAAAAAATTGCTAAAACAGTATTACAAAATATCAATAAAACTTTAGAATTCCTTGTATCATGAAATTTCTATAATCTGGGATATTATGTCAGGTTCTGGCAAATTTATTTTATATATCCTATTCAACCCAAATAAGCTGATATGTAATATTTTTCTAAAAGTAAAATATTCTAAAGATAAGCTCTTTGCATTCCAACTTTTTACATGAAAACTTCTAAGTTAACATTTTTAAAGTGTTTGTTATTAGATACTAATTCCAAGCATATTTGGTCAAGAAGTTATTAAACTTCTATTTAATGAACACTCTTAATAGCTATGCATGTACTTCCAGGAAAGTAAGCAAATATCTGGGAGTCAGTCAGGTTTTATGGAAAAGAAAGAAAAGCAGTGCTATTATTTTGTCATTTACTTTTTCAACCAAAATGGGTCTTTTGTGTCACCAAAAAAACAACAGTTAAAAATACAAAATCATATAAACAGCCCTTTTCTAAAACAATGAATATCTATTAAAGGTTTCTAGAAAATTCCACACTGGATAATAGTATTTACAAACTGCTTATGGCAATTGTGAAATGAGTAAGATGGTATCCTTGTTACATTTCTTCACAACACCCACAAGATAGTTACTTTCTTTCCGAATCACCAAATCCAAAATTACTTCCAAATATGTAGTTTTAATATGCACACTTCCACTGAAGAGTATAAACTTTAATGAACAATGAATGACCCATTTATTTTGCCAAATCTCCAAGTACTTCTATTTTTATTTCCTAAAATACTAATCATCGACATTTGAATATTTGAAAAACTCTGGTGCAAATTCAAATTTAATGTAAAAGATGATTCGTTTTCAAAATTTGAAACGGACTGATTTCTATTAGAACTTTGAGCTGAATTACAATGAGAAATTAATAGGAAATGTCAATAAATCAAAGGTAGTCCAAATTTAATTTGTCAGTCCATACTCCTGTGCAAAAAAGCCAGGGTCTCAAGTTCTATTAATTCTTCTTCCTTCTCCTTAAGGGTTGACAGTGGCACGGAATCTGGGTGGGAAGGGCCCACAGACACAGTGCGCCAGACTGGACGGTTCAGACGGGAGCCTCCTCTTGGCCCCTCCTAGTATAGCTATGAAGTTGGAGATGCAGCCCTATCAACATTAAAATACACAAGTAACTGTTTTAACAGAAGAACAATTTTCCAGCCTTCCATGAAACAAGGTGGGTATATCATGCTTATGACAATAACTTTTTAAGTGAATTCTGATTACTTGTAGGATTTTTATTTTCACTCGAGGCACAACAGTTCATAATTTACACAATGTCATATTACTATCCATACAAGTTTATCATTTTATGGGGGAAAGTTTGCTTCTAGAAAAAGTTTGGACTTCTAAGCCCCCTTTTCATATACTGACACAGTAACCTTTGAACTAAAGGTTCCAGCTTGAAAAATCAATCAAAAAATGGTGTGTCTAGACAGAGATTTCTGCTGTAAAACTGTGTATACATTCTTTAAACCTTCTCCCAGAATTTCTTTTGATCACTAGGGCTCACACAAAACGGTCAGTTTCTTCGTCTGAGGCTAGAGCTGTAGGAACTAATGTACTCACCATGTGGGCGTCAAGCTGCTCCTTGGCTGTTTCTGGCAAACCTCCCGGAGGCTTGGATGCTAACAGATGACGCTCTGTGTCAGTCAGCCACTGTTGCAAACCCTCAATTTCACCATGGAAGCTTTTGGCCTGGAGCGATTAAAAAATTCAAGTTTGGGCCACAAACATTGCCACTGCCAAGCATAAACAAGGTCTAACCAACGCCAGCCTAAGCCCCTCTCCGCTCTCTTACGGGCAGCAGGAGCCTCGGGGTCTGCCGTGCCTTTCTGCATCAGGACAGCTCAGCAGATAAGACGATTACACTAAGAGCTAGAGAGCTGAGGTCTCAACTGCTCTGCTTTTTATCCTACTTACTTTTACTCCTCTCCTTGAAGTATAAAAATTAAACACGTGTATGTAAATCAGTGAAGGAATTCCACGCTATTTTAGTCTTGAAGACTAAAGAAAGTTCCAGAATATACAGTAGGCCCCCCTGACCCACGGTTTCACCTCTGGAGGTTTCAGTTACCCACAGTCAACTGAGCGCCTGAAGCAGATGGTCCCCCTGCCGATGAATCACCAGAAGGTCAGTAGTAGCCTAACACTGTGTCACAAGGTCTACATCGTTCACCTCACTTCATCACGCAGGCATTTTATCATCTCACATCATCACAACAAGAAGGGTGCATATTTTTAGAGAGACAGACCACACTGACATAACTTTTATTATATATAGTATATGCTATGATTGTTCTATTTTATGATTATACTTGTTAATCTCTTATGGTACCTAATATAAATTAAACTTTATCATAGCTGTGTATGTATAGGGGAAAGAAGTACATATAGGGGTCGGTACTATCGGTGGTGTCAGGCACCCGCGGGAACGCACCCCCCGTGGATGAGGGGCCCACTGCATTCTCATGCACCTGGCGCAAGGCACCATCCAGCTGCTGCTTCCTTTGCTCTGTTTTTTCCAAAACATTTTGCCAGCGTTGATTCAAAACCTCCAGCTTGTTCTGAAGGTTGTTTGCTTTTTCACCTGCACTTGATTCAATTAGATCATTTCCTGCTTTGTTAACGGCTTCCACAGTGGACTGATGGGCTAATACATCATTTTGAAGCACCTGAAAATATTAAGACAACACTGTTTGCTAGCTCTTGTTGAGTTAACATTGCTTTTAACACATTTGTTGTGTTTTCTGGTTATGAGACATTCTGAACCACAAACATCATACATACAGAATTTTAATACTAAGGAAGAATTTAAAAAAAACGTACTTCTTCTCCCTTAACTTTGCAGCCTTCCTGGATATGCCTTCTGTCTACCAACATCCTCTGAAATGATTATGTGGGAACATTTGCTAGTTCTTCTTATTAAATAACCTTGCAGTTGAGGACATTAAGTATCCAGAGGTTGTAATGAAAAAGTACTAAAAGTTTTCATTTGATTCAAGCTCATTTTAAGTGAACTTATTTTTCATGTCTAAAGTGAACAATTTAAAAGATATTTTTATTTCTGTATACCCATTTTCAAATATAAAATCATTATATTTCTAAGATATAAAGTGTCATATCTTATAATTAGCACTCTAAGAGGGAAAAGATATCATAGAGTATTCTTTTATATTCTCTTGTTACAAGCGTGTTAGAAGAAACGACTAAGTTGGCAGGAATCTTGGGAATCCCTTAACACTAAAGGGGACGAGATTTACTGTCATCAACGATACTCAAGCCCAGCGTTTCAAAGTTTAGCTGTTCTTTGCTAGAAAATACAAAATACTTACTACAGATCCCAATAAATAGTGCTTTCCTTTTTATACAGTGGAAATATAAGAATAGATTAATAATGCTTAAATGCATGAACATAGGGACCAGAATGGTTAAGTGAGGAAAGCAATCCCAAAGTTAAAAAGAAAAAAATCAATTTCAAATACTGAAAAAGAATTACACTTTAGAGAACAAATACAGCTTAGCAGTAATTCCCTTTCAAGAAGACTGTGGTTACATTTTTGGAAAACAGGAAACCTTCCTTCTAATGTTAGTGAGAGCTGATGGTAATCCTTCCCTACACTCACTGACCCAGGGCTGGCCAGAGGAAAGGGCCCAGCATCCCTCATCCTGTGCAAGACGTCCCACATCTGCAGGGAAACGCAGACCAGGTGGGATTTTCAGGGAAGGGCGCTAACTGCCTGTGATCCCTGTTTCTCTGTATTTACTCGTTCTCTGCGGCCTCTGGGGAGGGTTTTCCAAAAGCTACACAAGCAGCCGAGTAAGGAGTGATCTTTATAAAAAGTATGTACTTTGATTTGTTAACAGTACGAATCACCTTCCAAGGTAAGAATTAAATATTTGTGTGATCAAAATACAAAATTATATAAAATTCCATTTTTTAAATGATCAAGTCTGGCCACATAAGACAGAGCCTAGGAGAAGCAAGCAAGAGAGCGATGGAAACATTCCCTCTCTTCCTTCAGCGACTATACAGGCCATTTTAAGTCCTTTGAGTTTCCCTTAGAGAGACAGAAAGAGAAGAGAAGAGAGAGAGAAGGAGCCATTTCTAACTGCTCAAAGATAGATGAACAAAAATGAAAATTGCTGTTCACCCCCTCCCCAAGATAATTGTATCAGGGAACCTCATTTTTCTACTTTACTGAAGTCTACAAAGTGCCTGTCACTGTTCTATGTTACTTTTGAGACAACTGCCAAGTTTATGAAAACATAAATACTATAAATGCACAATTTGAGAATAAACCATTTTGTTTTTATGCAGTCTGACCAGTCATTAATTTTCTAGCAAAGGTATAATATAGACATGAAATAATGAAAAATACTCACTATGCAAAATAAGTTCTAATTGCTTAATCACATGTGGTTGGACAAAGACAAAAGATATAGATGGAACAAGGTAAAAGAAAAAGAAAATTTACATTAGGGCACAAGTGCTGTGGAATAAAAATATGAAAAATGGAAGACTAAAGCAGAAATAGTCAAAAACTGGGTATCATGATATTAAAGTGCCCCAAACCTACCTTTTCTCTTAAAATGTTAATAAATAAATAAAATAATCAAAGACTGTCTATTTGATAATCAAGGAAAACTTACTTAAGGTTAGAATTTAGGCACTAACCTCAAATCAGATACCAATATTCATGTGAATGCTAACCCTCTATGAAAGACTAACCTTTGATTCATTAAGCCTAGTGACTTAAAATACAGGGAATTTTCTATTAAAAATTATCAACCAAATGTCACAAAGATGACAACATCATAAAATTGTTTTGTGCATCTTAAGATAAACATTTCCATTTATAAATTAGCCTTAGATCAACTGCAGGACATTCAAAAGCTTTTAATACAATGAATATTTTTTAAAACTGATTAAGAAAGAAAAGGACTAAGACACAGAAAGCCAATGAAAAGAGAGACAAAAGGACAAAGCCCAACAGAATGAGAGATGTACACAGAGAGAAGTGTGAGGCACGCCAAATCAGCAGCAAGTGAGAGGACGTGGAGACAAGGGGGACCAAAGCGAAAACACACACACACAACCTGCACCGGGACATCAGAGCCTACGGCTTTAGGCTATCCCTGCAATTTCTATTTCTAGCATAAATAGACTCTATGTTAATCCAGTAACAGGGAAAATCAGGGACTGAAACCTTCAGTGTCTGCCATGCAGCCTTAATAATTTAGCCAGAAGTTTCCCCTCCTTTCTGTTTTTGATAACAGCCTTGAAGAATAAGAAACATAGTTTGATGACAAGCTCTTAAAAAGCATGTTTTAAGTAGCTTAACATTCAGTAACAAATGTCGAATATGAACTTGTGCTAAAATCATAAACGTGAAAAACGCATGAGGAACAGACATACAGGAAAAATTCTGAGGCTGCTAGAAAGACACAGAGAAGAAGTGTAGCATGCAATTACAGCTACGTACGTGGTGCTTGGCAAGTTCAATTTCGATGGCTTTAGGGTCTCCTTCAACAGGTTTCTGTTCACTTAGCAAGCCCTCGGTGTGAGTCAGCCAGGCCAAGAGTTCGTCGAGAGCGTGCTGGAACTGCCCCAGTGCTAACAGAGCACCCTCCAGCTTATGCTACAAAGAAGAGTAGTAAGGAAGACACCCATTTATGAATGACATACACTTATGAAACAGGGCAAAAAAAAAAATCAACTTTTTTTGGTCAGTGATGCATCGTTCCACAAGCATATCCAATGGAGTGTGATCATTGTATCCTCACATTGGGTGCTTAAATTCTTGGTGGTTAAAAACGGTTTGTGAGAAGCAGCAAGAGTGCCAGTAAAACAAGAGAATTTAGGGGCCTCAAAAGTTGATGCACAAAATCATTCATTTCATTTTTTAATAATCAGTTTACATGACCATGTAAAATTGAACTTTGATGATTTCTTAAAATAAAAAGTCTTAGTACTTACCTGTCGATTGATAATTCTCTCCTCCAGACTATTCCATATCGATTTCAGTTCCATTAATGGGTCTTGAACAGTGCGTTTGTCGCTCTCTTCTGTTACTTTCTTCAGCAGAAGCTCTGCTTGGTGTTTCAGTCTTTCCATTTCTATCTGTTGTTGGTAGGCCTCTGACTTAAATTGCTTTTTTAAAAAAAGAGATATATATAAGGACACTTTGTTCTAAATAAAAACGTTAAACAAAAGAAATTCTACAGGTTAAACTTTGATTCCAATTCACACTTCCTGTGTGGGGGAGTGGAGGTTAAGAGGAATAAGAATCTATCAATGTAGAAATTAAAAAATAACAACTCAGGTACAGTGAACACTTGCTATCATCAGGTTATGCTCAACAAACTTAAAAAGAAAATGGTTTTGTCCTCAATTTAACCAAAGGACACAGAAATGAGACCAGTTAGGTAACTTCCCTGAGGTTATTTGGCTTGTGAGTAGATAAACTGGAATATGATCTCAGACAACCTGATTTCAGAGAGAGAGAGCTCTCCCAACCAGCTTGCTCTAGGAAAGCCACTGAGATATACATAAATGTCCAAAATCAATTCTCCTCCATACCAACAATTTTACATAAAGTATACCATGTGTTTACTATATGACCAGATACAGTGGGAAAAAAAAATCTCAATCTGATGATGGTAACAGCAAAATTCTCAGAAGAGAAAAAAAATTTTTCTAGAATATTCTACATCACACTTAGGGATGAAAATGATACAATTTTAAAGCCCAATAATAACTTTGTATAAAATCTAGTAGAGTTTATTGAAAATGGTGTGATATCTCTGTGGAGAGGGACTTAAAATTAGGAAGGAAACGGTTGATCCCACTTTGATAAATGATCATCAGCACAGAGGGATTCAAAGAGGAAGCCGTCCAGCCATTTTTGCAGCTGGAGATCAAGAACCACAAAAGCAAAAACTACAGACGAGAGCAGACGGAAAACAACAAGCGTTCACAAAACAAACATTCTGGAAAACGAGATTACACCATGGATGCTTCTTTAGCCTGTTAGACGAAATGAATTACTCTGAACATAACGAAGAAAGGAAAAATGTTGCTGTATGTGTACTGATGACAATGACAGTACTGAATAGTTATGAAACTTCTTCACAGGATGATCAACATGGGAATAAATACACCCCCTCCCGCAAAACTCAACCTGCTGTGACATGAGGACATTGGAAAGTCTGTAAATCAAGTCTTACAAGCGTTGCCTCTGGGAACATAACATTTGGGGTGGCTTTTTAAAAGGCCACCTTTTTTCTTATTTGTATTTTTTTATTTTTCTTTAATGAACAGCTATCAATTTAATAAGACTAATATTTTATACCCTTTATTTAATGAGCATATATATACTGCTTATTATGTGCAGGCACTATATTAAACTAGTTTCATTATCAAGATATTTACACTTCAATTACACAAAATAAATTTGTGTAAAGAATCCTATGAAGCAAGAACTTAAAAATGCAGTCTTTGCTAAATTAGTTAGCTCCCCACCCCATACCTTTAGCTCTTCAATCTGCTGCTTGACAACGAAGTCAAGATCTGTTCCAATTGGAGACATTGAAGCTAATTTACCACCTGCAATATCCAGCCAGTCGAATATTGCCTGAAAAACACATTAGTCCACGTGTGATTATAATACTATGTCTGAAATTGCTACATCTCAAGTGTTACAGAAAAGTACACTTGTAAATCTACAAAAATATTATGGAATGGGACTATTTAATATAAGGTTAAGATGGTTCAACTAAAAAAGTAAAAGCAACAATATACTATAACAGTTGAAATAGAACTATATATGAAATATATGAAATAGATGTAAGCCAATTCTGCATCCAAGTTTGCAAAGAATATTCTTTCCTGTATAGAATCTTATATTAAGAACTTTCAAAACAAGTCCATTTGAATGAGTTTTAGAAATGGAATCACATGGAATCGAATTCTCCATGCTCTTTCATGGAGCATGTATAAATATACAGAGAAACCCATTCCATCTGTTTATTCAAGTAAGCAAGTATATTGTCTGGCACTTGAGCAAAATATATAGCCCAACAAAACCCTATGCATTCTTTATATTAGCATTAAAATCCTGCACATATAACAATTAACATTATGACCATTAGTCTGAATTATGACACAGATGACAGCATCTCCTGTTTTCCCTGTTCTTTTTAGGTAATATAATATTCTAAAAAGGCACAACTCATATTTCTTCCAGGTACTGAATGCACAAAAGTATTCTGCTCTTTAATGAAGCTGCCACATCTGAACAGCAGGAGGAAATAACCTTGGAAAATATCTGAATTTCAAAGTTGTTATCATTAATAAACCCAAAAAATTTAAGCAGCAACCTGGGAAATAAAATTTACTTTACTTTACAATCAAATTTTGAAATCTCTGGAGCCTCTCACTACAGCTAGCCCTAACAGCCCTTTACTAAATCAGGGTGCCAGTCATTCCCCCAGCTGATGCTACTACCCCGTGACGGACCTTGTTTTCCAGCAGTGGTAACGAAACTGTGTAAGTCATGGTGTCTAGCCTGGGGCCTCCTCCGGTTCCTGGCTCTTGAGGGCAAATGGCTGTAAGAGTGGCTATACCATCTCCAGCCATGGCAGCGGGCACAACTCAATGACTTACCAAAGGTATGTGAAAATCATGGATCTGGCCTCACAGAGTGACGGCTCGAACCTGATTAGTTTTGGTCACTGATACTTAACCAATAAATTATCACTTTGGTTTAAAAAAAGATGGGGGACACGGAAAGGGAAAGTTATAAGGTATTATTTGTAGTGACTTTTTAATATATTTCCAAAGTTCAAAACACTTCTCAGCTGGCATAGAGCCGTACTTGTGATATTTATTTTTACAAATATAGAAATGGAGAGGCATAATAAAAAGGAAAGGATGTTCTCATCTGAGCTTTAAAAATAATACTTGCTTGGTGTTATGGAAATACTTAGAAGGGCTTTTTCCATATGGTAGGAGGGATAAAAGATTAAACTCTTTCCAGCCTGTTAGGAAATGAAATAAAAGTTTAGGAAGGTATGGAGAGAGAGAAATATCCCTGAGTTGACCTCAACTGATAAGAAAACTTTTAATTAAAAAAATAAAAACACCTAAAAAAATTGTTAATGAACTGAATGAAAACCTTTAAAGTAGATGAAAAAAAACTATTAAAAGGAATTTTATATATATGGAAAAGAAAACAGATTTTACATACCGGATTATGACCTAATAAAAGAGAAATCTATTTTAGTTCATTGAGAACGCTGGCTTCGAATCAAATTTCTTTACTCCTGACTTTAGTTAAACTTGGTGGTATTTTTAGATAGTGTTTATTCCTTTCATCTAATTCCACTCAACTTTAGAACAGAACTCAGATTCAGTTCCATTTCACTGTCTGGTGCTGAGCCGTTTATGAAAAATGCTGTGTGGGAACACTTACTTTTACTGAAAGAAAAATTTCAAAGTAGAATATACTAGATGTGTGTCTAAAAATGTGTTTAGATGTATACAGAAATCTATACTGATCTCAAGTGTCAGAAATATCTCTCAAAAGACAAAACATGAAGTGAAGTAGGCGAGGCAGTTGAATCCCCACTTGCAGCCCTGGGGTGGCGTTAGCGGGCCCAGCGTGTGTCAGTCTGTGGAAATCCCTGAGGACCCCTCCTTCCAGCAGCCACGCGGCAAAGCCCTCACCTGCAGGCCGTCCTGGTACTGAACAGCGGCCTGCATCGCCTCCTCCAGTTTGTCCACCCGGTCTTTCCAAGCTTTATTGAGAGAATCCCACGCTGAATGTAACTGAAATTTAAATGTTAGAACTCTGTTAGGATCATATGTTTTCAACTCCTTCTACCAAATATGCTTTAGTTCACAAAATTTTTTTAAAAATTATTGTTAAGAGTAGAAAATATGCTAGTTGTACCTCATCTATACTCTTCTTGACAATGGGTTTATCTGGTTCCCCACATGCAGCGATGAGTTCAGAACCCAGGTTGATAACTGTATCCAGCTCTTCCTGCAGCCCATCTATTTCTTCCCTTATGGACTAGAATGAGAAATGACAGCCTTAGAGCCTTAAGTAAAATCACAGTGTAACTGAACAGATGCACACGACAGTAATGGTAGTTATTTCTAGGAAGAGGGATTATGATCAGTTTTTATTCTCATCTTGCTATTTTCTAGGTTTCTGCAATAAGTATTTTCACCATGCAAAGAGAGCAGAATAAATATTTTATAGAAAAAAACAGCATCCTTTGTAACAAATGTTAAATGTTAAATAATGTTTAAGAAATAATTCTATGTAATAAATGCTGGAATAAGTGCTTTTAAGTATCAATAACAATGAAAAGCATAGAAACACATTTTGTTTTTCAAACCCAACAGTTTGGCAATATACATTTAAATTGATATGATAATCTAAAAAAAAAGAAAAAAACAAAAAATACTATTCCCCTCCCCCCAGAAAACTCAAACACGTGGATACAGAGAATAGATTGGTGGTTGCCAAAGGTGGGGGACTGGGAGATGGGAGGAATGAGTGAAGGGGTCAAAAGGTAAAAACTCCCAGTTATGAAATAAGTAAGTCCTGGGGATGTGATGTAAGCATAGTGACTACAGTCAGTAATACTGTACTGCATATTTTTAAGTTGCTATGAGAGAGTGAATCTTAAAAAATAATACAATTAAATATGAGTAAAATGTGAGTTCAAAGACTTCATGCAAAATTAATGTATTTGTTAATAGAATTAGGGTAATCTAGGTCTGGATTTACATTTTAGGTCATTTCCCCAGGGTTTGTAAACTTTAAAAAAGTGATGACATCAATGCAAGAGTCCATCTTGCCTTCGTCTTCTTGGTTAAATATATTTGTTCATTCAGGAAACATTTAGTAAGCATGTACCAAGCCCTAAACTACACATTGGGGATACAAAGAAAAACAGATAGGGCTATTCTGCTCTAGGGGCACAGTGCCCTTTAGGAAAGACAGAGGTATAGCCAGTGATGTCTCACTATGTGTGGCATCCTTTGAGGAAGTGTTGTGGGAGCACAAAGAGACTAACTCTGCTAAGTATATAAAAAAAGATTTTATGTGAGGGTAATAATCCAACTGAACCTTGAAGCTGGAGTGAAATTTGCCAGAGGACTGGCACGAAGAGCATGTTAGGGTGAGGAAATATATATGCTAGAAAGAGCACAGCAGTTTTGGGAAAAGCCATTTTCTAATATAGAAGCAGTAAAAAAAAAAAAAAAGCCTTTGGAAACACAGGCCTAGGCTAGGCTGGGCTGTAAAAAGCGAGCACACAGCTCCAGGGAGTCAGGATTTCATTCGGGAGGCAGTGGGTGCCTCTGAAGGGTTTTGAGCAGCAAGACAGAACAGGCTTAGAGAAACCAATGGCAGCAGGGCTAGAGGCCTGACAAGGAAGGGGCTCTGCAGGGAGGGACTGCTCTGGGTCACTTCAGCAGCCACGAAAAGAGGGCGAGGGAGAGAAAGAGAGAGAACAAGGCCCTGGAATAAGGCAGAAGCAGTGGAGATGAAGAGAAACTTAAAAAATATACACTCTCTAAAGGGAAATTAGTGGGTATTACTTTCTGTCTCCTACGGTATCACTATGCATTCCACTTTTGGAACCAATGTAAATCTTAACAGAGTACTTCTGAATATTTACCAATGGAATCCAGGTCTCATTATACTGTAACTAATTTTTTTTACTTTAAATGGGAGTTTCTGCTTACCTCTGCTGCTTCTTGCTGTTGTTTTACCACTGAGGGATCAATGCCAGGATCCTTCAGATCCCGGATGAAATCTTGTGCATCTTTAGTGGTAACCACCAGCGACATGTGATCACACCAGAACTTCTCTGCTAATTCCATGACATCCAGTAGTTTGGCTTCCCTTACTTCCACCAGCGTGTGTATGTTCTCCCAAAAGAAAACCATTTTGTCAAGCTTATCCTTAACAGCTATGGTGCAAAACAATATCCAAAAGGCAATGTGTTAGCCCCATTTAAACAATAAAGCAGAATATTTTACTTCACACAGATTTAATTTGTTAAGTATCTAAAACCAGACCAAAGTTTGGTTGACCCCACTCTAGTGGGCATGTGGGCCCAATGGCCTATTCCAGACAAATTCAAGTTCTGAGGGTGTCTGGCTCCTCTGAACCAAGGCGCTTTCTGACAAAAGTGGATGCTCAAAGACACGTGAGCTAAGTAGACCTCAGTTTACAGTTGTCAGTTGTAAACTGTATGAAATAACCACTTAAGTATATTCTTTATGCTCTCCAAGAACAAAGATGTCCGTTCACTCCCAGGAATATAACAACATAGGATATGTATTTTGTACCTGTTTCTAGAGCATTCTTTTCATGAATTCCCACTAATTTATATGGATGTTCTTCTTTTTGATCCCCAGCTCATATTTTTAATATGGCTGGCTGTAGTCGTGGTGGTCATTTCTGTGGCTATGGGCTAGAGCATCCACGATGTAAGATAGTTTGTAATCAGTAATGAGAGAAAAAAAGAAATAATAATCCCTAGTTTTGTTCTTAGCATTATGCTTTAAAAAACTGGCTTAAAAGTCCCAGAAAACACGTGGCTTTTTTTGTGCATCTGCACTTCGCATTAAACTGATGGACTTCACTAACACAGGAAGACATTAGCAATGGATTTATGTACATGTACAACCCCCAAAACATATTTGTAATACTGTCTCAAAAATCTGGTATTTTAGCATGCAACTGGACTGCCGGTGGACAGCATGGGATTTAGAGTTGCTTTAAAAATAAAGTTCAACTCTTCTTTATTCTGAAACCATTACCTTTGGCAGATACGTCTTTGTCAGTGCCCCCGGAGCGAGCAATCATTTCCTCTCCCCTCTGTTTAAGAGTTTCATACAATGGTTGTAGGTTTTCCATGTCTACTGACATGTTCTTATTTTCACGGATCTGCTCCTTAATCTTCTCCACCTCAGCAGAGATAGAAGGTGGCTGCCTCAAAAGCTCCACGATGCGTTCGAGGCTCTCCAGGACCTGGTCGATCTTGTCGTGGAACTAGTAGTAAAATAAAGGAATCATTTATGGGGAAAAGATCTGTGATACCAAGTGTGAACATTTATACAGAAAAAAGCATCTATTTAACATCACATCAAGAACTAAATCTTAGCCCCTGTGCTAACACATCCATCCAGTTATATGCAGATGGTATATGACATTTGAAAAATCCTACCTCACATGCACCTCTCTTCATCCCACTACTTTTATAGACCAGACTATTTCTTGCAAATAATTGAGTGTATTCATTAAAAAATGGTATATGTTAATATATAAAAGACCACCTGAGGGCAGCCACTTACCTACTGCTTTTATCATGATTCAAATTAATTTTAATAATTAAGTTTCATAAGCTGGGTGTTTGTCTATCAAAACTGATTGTTTTATTCACTTTTACTCCTTATTTTGGCATCCTGAGGACATAATATTATTAAACGTAAGATTCATGGCAGTTTTGATTATCTTAAAGGATTACTAAGTAAGTTGTAAATTTCCTGAACTGCAAAATGTTAAAAATTAAACAAAACTAAAACCTCCCCAACAATGCAACAGAGGTGTGTATTTAATTCATGTCCAAACACATAATCAGATTCATGAAAGAATTTTAAAATTTTGTTTGCAAAAGTACTCTAGACAATGAGACAAAGTTTTGAAAAGTGGTTCATTCAGACTCAACACTATCCTACATTAAAGGAATCTTCACTCCGGATTTATAGGAAATAGACCACTCTAATGTCAGTGGATCTAATGATAAAAACCAAACTTTGAAAGTGGAAAACCTGTAGATAATTTCAAATTTAACTTCTTGAAAAAAGATGTTTTCAAAAAAGGAAAAAGCATCAATTTCTGACTGTATATGAATCTTTTCCTTCTTATTCAGCCTATCATTCAGTCTTTCTTCTTACTGGGACTATTTTACTAATAATGATAATAAATAACACTTTGTTTCATGTCTCCCTATGGCAAATACTGCATTCTACTCTAGATACATGTTTACTTAAGTATTTGGACAACGATGACAACTGTATGCTTCTTAAGTCACTGAAAATTATTTTTTATTGTACCTACAACCAGGCAGAGAAATGTAAGGACTGGACGTAAGCAAATACCACCTCTGAGAGACAAAGACATCAATACTCAAAGTTAATGTAATGAAATAATCTTAGTTGAAATTTAATCAGGAGATCCAGGAAAGATTTTTCCATGCTCTGCTGTTCAGAAGAGCCCAGTCACATGTCTGGTGTAAACAATTACCTGAGTAGATTGAGAAATGGCTTCATCCAGGGCCACAGCTCGCTTTTTGACATCTTCTTTAATTTGACTGTAAAGGGTGTCGGCTGCCACATACTTCTCTTGGATGGAAAAGCCTTCCCCTGGGCTCAATTCCAGCAACTGTGGCCCAGTTTTGTTCATCTTATCTATATGAGGTTTGTGTTCGGCTATCAGCTCTCGCAGTTGCTACAACAAACCAAACAGCTTCTCAGTATCACAGGGTCACACCTCCATGTCACAGCTGTCTACATCCCCAATGCGTGCAGCTGGCAAGAAGCTCCAACAAACACCCTCCCCATCACAAGGCATTTAGCACATGGCTCCTATGAGTCTTTGCCAGGAAGAGAGGCCGCTGACACAAAGATTAAACAACAGCCTGCTCATGTCAAAGCCCCCAGAAGGGTATATATAAAAATGCTCATGGAGCAAAATAATTAATCCCAGTTCATTATCCATTTCATGCCAAGATGGCACATTTTGATACAAGTTTTAGCCAAGGGTCCTATTACATAAAAGGATTCTGAATTCACTGTAATGTGCCCAACCTATAGACACCAAGCTATAACTCTCGGGATCCCTTTCTGCACACTCACGACATATACAGAAATTACTTAAAAGAAAGGGAGGAGGAAGGAAGGAAGAGAGGAAGAAAAAGGAAAGCAGCTCAGTAGAAGGTAGACACAATGCTGAAAGGACAAGAACTACAGATAATGCCTAAGTTAGAGGGATGTAAGCCCACCAAGCCATTGTAATTATATATGTAAAGAAAATTAATGTGTGTACATATATTACATAATATATACATGAAGTTATTCTATGTACATACAGACATGAATGAATCAATTTGTATTTATTTTCAAAAGTTAAAGGCTGCAAGGTCATCAGTCTATCAAATGCATAACTATATACTGAGCATTATTTACAAGGTGCATTTAAGGAAAAATGTGACATAGGAAAATTTTGCATAATACCTAATCAAAAGATTCAATGAAATTTATAGTAACGAGTAGGTGTGGAATCCAAGAGGAACCCCACTCCATCTGAGGAGATGAATAAATCTGGAATATCCATACTCCATGGAACCCAAGGCTTCCCATGGAGCAGTTTTTCAGGGCCAAATCCAAAACCCCTCCCAGGGGGAATATCCGCTTCGCCTGCAGGTTTCTCTGAGGCCGGCCTCCAGACACCCCCGAGGAGCCTTCCATATGTACCACATTATTGACTAGGCTCCGTCATCAGCAATTCCTTGTCCTCTCTAGAAAGTACATCTCCAAACTGTTTGCTATCCAGCCCCTAAAAAACATTCCTCTGCGAGAAATTATATTCAGGAAAGACAGTCTAGGAAAAAAGCTATCAATCTTTTCCTGCAAGTGCTTTGATTTCTGTCATTCTTCAAGAAGACTCATGAGGACAGCCACCTATGGAGATTTTTACTGGAAGTGTCCACTGAAATCAGCCATGAGAATTATTTTGAAAATTGTTAAGGTAGTTGGTTTATTACTTCATTAACAATACTAAACATAATATATTATTCTTGAAATATTTCTGAAGATGGTCTCAAAAGTGTTTTGGAAAAAGCTAAATAAACACAAATTCAATTAAAAAAGAAAAAAAAAGAAGGGGGAGGTCTAACCTAACAACACTGTACGGAAGAATCTGGGAGGGTCATGTCTGCGACCGAGCTCCTAGGTGGTCCAGGCTAAGATATTCTTAGTTTGTTCCATGTTATTAGGTCCTATCTACATGAGAGTAATTTCAGCTAATAAACAGTCCCTTGGAAAAGGAATGTGTTACACATGTTCTGGTTTCACTGTTCTATAAGACATGTTTGTCAAACAAGTTTACACTCAGAGCAATCAAGAGACTCAAGTTGGAAGAGAGATCTCTGCTGAGACTTGAGCTGCCTAGAGTCTAGGTGGCTCTCATGTGCGTGGCACCACCAGGAGACACCTTAGCTTGGGAAGTAGTGAGGTGAGCCTTCTTTAGACCATGTCATGACAGACAAGAGAGTATTTACTAGATGCCTGCGTGGTGTGTATGTGCAGGGACAAAGGGCCAGATGGACGTCTTTTGCCTCATGTGTAACTAATGACTCTTGGCAACATACTGTCATACAAGTCCAGTCACGCTGGAAATACTTAGTGTGACTTCAAGATATTTACTACTTGGTAACATGGCTACTGGAGCCATTTTTCATTCTTAGCTGGAATGAACTAGAAGACTGTCCCAAAAATAACTGAAGAAGATGCTGTGGAGCTGCAGAAGAAATGACATTCTAGAAGACTGCAAACATTCTGAACAATTTAGTTTGAACAATTTTTGTAATTCCTTTATACATAAAACCATAAATTTGTTTTGAGAGTTGAAAGATTATGCAAAAAGGGAAAAACTGATCAAACTTCGACATTTTCAATAGTGGTCCTTTCCATACTATTTATTATGCCAAAAGCAGAGCCATCCATGCTCTGTTAAGCTATGTTAACATTTAAGTAATGGCTGCAATGAAGGCTTCATACTGGTTCCTAATTTTATATATATTTAAAACATGATATATTTGTAGATGTAAATATACTCTTAGGCTTACACATATACATTTATAGAAGCAGAGAACTTCAAAAGAGCTCCATGTATATAAGGTTAAAGAAAAAAAGGGAAGCAATTTGTCTTCATACTTCAGCATTTTTCCTTTTCATAGAGCTACATTTCACCACATTGAAATTTTGAGGTTATTTGTTATATTGTACAGTTTCTCACAAGCTCAATAGCCTTGTCCGTAGTGTGTCATTCCATTTATTTCTACTCTGCATTTACATTCCAATTATAAAACTTAGTCAACAGGTGTAAATTGAAAGCAATTCAACATGCATAGATTCAAAATGCTTCAAAAGCTTGTTTCTCTAACATTTTAAAATGGGAATTTTGGTTTTTGTACCCAATTTATACTGCTTACTATTCTATAAAACCTGTGATATAATTAGTAACATGCACCATGTGGTCCACCGGCCTGAGTCTTCTCACTGTAACCCTAGACAACAGGTAAGCAACTATGAGTTAAGTACATGTTTGCAGACCAGAACACAATATTGCTGAAATGTCCTGACAATGTAGGCTGTCTGTCTAACTGCATTGAAAAGCACCATAAAAATCATGATTCTCCCTTAATGGGGAACACAGCATCCTCTCTGACACTGAGCTTACCCTATGTTCTTCCTGCTGCTGTCTTAGAGTTTCATATTCAAGAGCTGGGGCAGGAAGCTGAGAGATGATTCTTTCTGTTTCTGTCAGCCATGGCCAAAGTTCTTCATATGTTTCCCAGAACTGGTTAACCAGGGACTGTGCCCTTTCTAGCTGTAGGTATCTCTCTGAGTTCATTTGGCAGATGGTATCATAATTCTTCAGTATCTTGTCCAGTTTTTTCTAGAAAATAAGATAGTGAAATGTGTTTAAGAGGTCAGGCTGACCAAGAAGCTCATGAACTCCAGAATGTTTTATCCAGCATTATACACCAGGTGCAGAGTAGGCACTCAACAAATGTATGTTAAATGAGCAAAGAAACAAAACCCATTTAGATTTAACCATTTCTATATGTGAAAGTTCATGTTAAAGTAAAGAAAGGCCCTTCAGGGTCATATAATGTTATATATGGCAGGAGTTTCTTTCTTGTTAAGGCTGAATAATATTCCACTACATGCTGATGTTGTGTTCTTACTACAAAAAAAGTTCCTATTATATATATGTAAAAAACAGCTAAAATGTGAGAAACATCTTAAAAGTACAACTGGAGATCAGAATAATAAATTATGATATATTCATACAAATAGATTTCTAAGAAGTCATCAAAAATAATGGGATTTATGACACAAAGAACTTCTCAAAAAATTAGTGACAAAATCCAAATATAAACAGCCTCGGGTTTTCATGAATAAGACTTTGAGCTCTCCAAACACAGTAAATAAAATTCTCCAGCCATTCTTCTATGTTAGAAAACAAGTTTCATATGAGTCTAGCAACATTTACATTACTCTCTGGAAAAAAAAAAAAAAGGACTACCTTTTGCAAATGAAACTGTAAAAGGAACTCCTACTCCACAAAACTAATTAGTTATATTAGAATCAAAGTAGAACATTATGCGACACACTTAGGCGGCGGTCACAGTGATCTAGATCATGGTACAAATTCGTATCATAAACTAACAGCAGACAGTAAATCACAACAGTAACCCAATAACCCTGAGAATGATGCAGAAATTATTTCATGATAATCTGTATTTTTCATGTCAGAATCTTTGTGATAATATTAAAGATTAAATTATAAACAAGCACACTGCCATTGCAGAGTGTAAATAAGAGAAACTATCATTATACAATGACATTCTATTATTTTGTCTATGATATATATTAAAAGCAATGCATAATCTTTAAAATGGGATCTGAGGCACAGCTATTTGTACAATTGTTTTGTCATGGGGCATTTTCCTACAAGGTGCATTAATACATATTAATTTCTTTAGTCTGCTCAGATGTCTGAATATGAACTGAATTAAACATTACTTGTGGCTGGGTTCTCATCCATTTAAAGGATCATTACAAGTACATAAGCTGGATGGTCCCTCTAATTATTCAGCTCATTTCTTCCCCTATTCAGCTTACTGTAACTTTACAGAGAATGGATTTCAGCATTAGAGGGTACCACACGTTTTGGATTTTGTTTCAGCCCAAGCTGCCCCAATGTTGCTGAAGCATATAAACAACAATTGACATATATAATAACACTTTATATTGATAATAATGGCAATAATACAGCTAACATTAACTGAATGCTTAATGGGCACCAGTTATTCAAGGACTCAAACCTCTACAGTTTTTCTGTCCGCTAAAAAAAAGATTGTCCCTAGGGTGACTGCTGGAATATTCCTTGCACTGTTATTCTGTAAGCTTGAAAAATGCCTATTTTAAAACTAAAGATTAAACTGTTTAAATGGCAGCTGTAGATAAAGGAAAGAGTGCTTTTCTAGGACTGAAAGCTCAATGCATGCTGTTTGTTCAAGAGTCTCACTACCAGTCACAGAAAAGATTTTACCTTCATTGATTGCTTTTCCTCTTCCCTGCATGTGGTCATGATTTTATGTCCAGATTTAACAAGTTCATCAATAATATCTTTGTGCCTCAAAATCTCCATGGTGAATGTCTGTGATTTATCAAAATAAAGATGAAGAGAGAGTGTGAATGACTAAAATGAAAACAATTAGGCAAAGTAGCTATAAATACCCAGCTACACTAGTGGGGTCTTGCAAAGTAAATTATGCAAACACATTTTTCTAGACTTGGAGCACACTAACGAATGATTTAGAAGCAATTGGAAATGCACTTTCTCACCTTTTGAACCTGCAGCTGAGCAGAGGTCTGGTCTTGCTCAAGCCGGATGTCACCCAAAGACATCAATTTCTTCTCTGTTTCTGTAATCCAGGATAACTCAGCATCAGCTGCTTGGTCAAACTAAACAAAAGATAAATAATTAGGTGAGCAACTTCCTGTAACTGGTACCAGAAAAAATACCTATGTATACGTCTTTTAAATATCGCCATTACACAAGCGAGGAATCTGAGCTTCTCTCTTCATGGCATCCTAAAATAATTCATGGTAATGACGGACGTTAATCAGAAAGGAGGACTTTCCACAGAGAAACTAAACACAAGCTCTTAAAATGTGCGGGATGCATAACATAGCATTAATGATTTTTAGAACAGCTAACACTGTTGTCTTCTTTTTAGTTATTGTTAAGAATTTTCTCCTTAGGAGCACTATTCAAAGGAAGAACTATGAAAGTCATAGTTGGGTACCACTTTCCAATCATTTCATCCATCACTTTAACCCATGTGATATGGAGTAGCATTCTGCTAAGTACATGATTCCTAGCAAAAAGAAGGAAATATTACCATTTATTTATTATATTATGTGTATATAAATGCATGTGTAAAATATATCTCTGCTTCTGTATAACTTTTTACATTTTATTTAATAACTGTAGAGAACATTTTCAAAGAGCATTCTTAAATATTTTGAGAAATTTGATTTTCCTGATACTAGCAGTAATTCATAGTAGAAATTCATCAAGTAAAGAAAAACACACAGAAGCAAATTAAAGCCCAGAGTTAATACTGTTGGTATTTTAGTGAATTTTAGCATTTGAGAAAAGTCTGGGATAATACTGCAGAAATAGTTTCATATCCTGCTTTTTCATTTATTATGAACATCCCATGTCATATTCTTTTAAATGTGATTTTTAAATAACAGCATTGTGTTCTAGCATATCTGGATATTTTCATTTAGGCTCCCTGCATTTTTTTTCGCTGTATAAACAACCTGAAATGAATATCTCTGTATATAAATCTCTGTTGGCATCTCTAATTAGTTTCTCAGGCTGGATTCCCAGAAGTCGACTCCTAAGTCAGAGTATGAACGTTTTCAGCACCTTGCATCAGATACACCCCAATGCCTTCCTGTGCTAAGTAAGCAGTTACCATAAATGAATAAAGTGGGCACGTAACAATATAAGCACCAATGGTACATGGTAATTAACAATGGCCGCAGAGGGAAGATTTAATGGGGAACAGATATTGTGAGGAGTCAAGTCCAGAGCTTCTAATTTTTCAAGAGAACCTTGAAATCTCAATGGAGGCAACTATGTGAGGGGAGGGATAGGTAGAGATAAGAAATGAGATTGGGAAACTATTCATACTTTTAAGACACTATGAAACATTATGCAGACTCATGGGAAGACAGAGTGAACCTACTTTCTTCCCTGTTCCTCGTAAGTACACCTAAAGGCGCTGGGCATTATATATAAAATGTAGGTAAGAGCTCTAGATGGGGAGAGAGCAGAGCAGAACTGCGGTAGACCTGGGCACCAGGGGAACAGACCACACGGTGGGGAGGTCTCTGGGTTGTCTTCTCGCCCCACACACCCTAGACTGCCTCCTGGACAGACTGGAAATCCAGAAACACCAAGCGGCACAGACAGAGCCCAGTCAAAGCTGCTGTCTCAGCCGAGAGACCAGGAAACGGGCAGCCTGGCCAGACGGGAAACTTTGAGACAGTAACCAAACCACTCAGAAAAAAGCTGTGGTCTCACCTGCACGGGCCAAGAGATGCTGAATGGGGAGCCTAGAATTCCACCCCCGTGAGCCTCTAACAGGGTCACCCCTAAGGGTTGTGTCAGAGGCGGCCAAGTAGAGAGCTGGAACTTTCATTCCCTCTGGCCAATGATAAGGCCCCTGCCCACAGTGCCAGGGAGACCCAGCGGGAAGCCTGGACTTCCACGCACAGAGCAGCCACGAGGCCCCTCCTCACCTCCTCTGGGCCAAGTGAGAGAAGGCGGTGGAGAGCCAGGGTGTCCCCCCTTGCTCGGTGGTAACGCGGCCACCTTCACCATGGTACCAGCAGAAACCACTCAGAGAGCGGGCACTCCCTCTCCTAGCCAGCAGGAACAAGGAGCGCCCCCTTAGCAGTCATGAGAGGCTGAGAGAGCGGGGAACCTGGACCTCTGCTTCCAGAGAGTACCCCCAAACCACTGCTTCTGCCAGAGCAGAGCCAGAAAGCCATTTACAACAGGAAGTTTAAGTCCCCAGACTCATAATACCCAGAGCCAAGACCCCACAAGGAGCTCAGGAAGGTAATCAACAGATGCCAATACCTGGATGACAGAGACATTAGAATTATCTCATAGAGACTTTAAAACAGTCATGGTAAAACCGCTCCATGAGCAATTTCAGACACGGTCGAAATGAATGAAAAATTAGAAAGCCTCAGCAAACAAAACAGGAAGACTCAGCAAAGAAGCAGAATCTAAACAACCAAATGGAAATTCTAGAACTTAAAAACACAGTAATTAGAGCTCAGTGGTTGGTATCAATGAAGGGGCTGGAAGGAAGCATCAGTGAAGTAGAAGACTGAATGACAGAAATTACCCAGACTGAAAAATGGAAAATAGACTGGAAAAAAAAAAAAAATCAACAGAGCCTCAGGGACCTGTGGGACTATAACAAAAGACCTAACATGCATGTCACTGGAGTCCCAGAAGGAGAGGAGAAAGAAGCTGTGGCTGGAAAGTACCCATATTTGCTGCAATGACAATATTATAGAAATGGAGAGCAGATCTGTGGCTGCCGGGAGCTGAGGCAGCAGGGGTGGGAGGGAGTAGATGCGGTGACAAAAGAGCATCATGAGGGACCCACGCAATAGAAATGTCCTCTGTCTTGACTGCGTCACTGTCAACAGCCTGCCTGTGGTGCTGTCCTCTAATTCTGTAAGATGTTTCCGTAGGGAAAACTGGGTGAAGGATACAAGGGCATCTCCCTGTATTACTTCCTACAATGACAAGTGAATCTACAATTACCTTAAAACAACCAATTAAAAAACAATGCTGTGTGGGTAACCTCTCATCTGTAAGTTTTTGTTTGTATTTTCTCTTTAAAATATATATTCCCAAATTGCCCTTCAATACGGTGTACTAATTTATTCTCTCATGGGCAGACATTTGCTGTACCCTCATCACCACGGGGTATAATTTATTTATTTTTTACATTCATCAAGCTTATCAGTGGACTTTCCTTAATTATAAGGAAATAGCCTTTCAGCAGTAACCCAGCACAAACATTAAAAGCATTGATTAAGAAAGAGTACCACTACCATTTCAATCTCATAAATAAAAATCTACAAATTATAGAAGTGAAAAATACACAGTATTACTAAATTATGATTACATTTTGTTTCTGTATCTCATGAACCTACATGTTTTCATCTTTACCAAGTAATAAGTGAATGATTAAATTCTTGAGCTATTTGCAGATCAATTTCTTTTAGTCAAGAGTTTTAGACTGAAAAAATTGAGATAATCATCTCAATAATGGGCCCTAACAAAACCATAATAGGGAAAAAAATAATACTTTTACATTAACCTTTAAAAACTCAGCTGCGTAAGGATATGAGAGGGAAGGATATGGCTTAACAGACCTTTCCCTAACAATTTCTAGAAGAGTTCCCTGAACAAAACCTGAATACAAACCAACATCTACCAAAAAAGCAATGCGAAGTCAGGCTGCTGTTAAGACCCACCCGGTATGTGGGCAGCAGTCACACTATCATATGTGCTAATCAAGACACACTTGTCACACTGCACCATCCTTCAAGTGTCACACATTTAAGAGGATTACAGACATGCGGAAGTTGTTACATAAACAAATTCAGAGCTTTGGTCAGAAGGAGGGGCAGTACTTCCAAAGTGACTATGTGTGCATTTATGTATTCAAGCAGAATTATTTATTTTTTCCGATATTTCTTATAACATTACATCTTATTTTTTAGTGAAAACACATTTTTTTCAGAAAGTCATGGGAGAGGCTCATGGTGTGCATATAAGCACTGTTAATAAATGTTTTGTCCACAGATTCATTCATTTTTCTGCTACTGGGACAAATCAGAACAAGGTGGACTCCAGAAGGAATCTCGACAGACCATTTGAAAAATTCTGGATTAATCCGGTTCATTAATTTTTATGATGTTACTTGGTTTCAAATGGAACTACTCACTAGTAATTACTGACTAGAGTAAAAAAAACCTTTATCAATGAACTTCAGGTGTGGAGAAAGAAATCTGCATGAAAACCAAGTGGAAGTGTCTGTGCATGGACTGCTGGCTTTCAGGCCATACACGATGAAACTTCAAGGCAGAATTTATGTGACTGGCTTAAAGAGCAAAAAATTGAGAGAAACAGTCCAGGCCTTTCTACTTGAGCATTTGCAGCATAAATGCTGCGAGACATATGAACTTAATTTTAACAGTTACAATATTTTCCTTCTACTGGTCCCTGAACAAATAAAGTGACACACCACCTCTCCTGTTTGTGTTCAGGCTATTTTTAGTATTATATGAGAGTCCTGCTAAAGCCAGGCTCTGAGTGTTAATATTAGTTTAACACTACTTCTCCCTCTCCGTAATATAAGTCTTCAGTGAAAAACAGTATGATGATACCATCTAAGTCGCCAAAATGGAAAGTTGAAACACACACACTGTTTCTTTAACCAAGGCAAATATTAGCTCTGCTGAAAGAAAACAAGACTTCAAGCAGAAATTACCATTCTGTCTTTGGGAAAATTTTTTTTTATGAAGTTAGTAAGTATTAATAACTTAGCAACAAATGGAATAGCCACAGTAAAACAGGTCATTTTATTTAGGTTGATGACTCTTTTGAATGACTACTTGAGTATTTCTAATGGACCATAAAAACTGCTTATTTTACATATGAACAACATGGACAAGTTTACTAGACCAAATACTAATAAATTCGTTTACTGCTCATTCCAGTAGCAAAAGCTGACCCCAAATAATTGTAAATAATGTTAGCATGTATTACTATATTCTTAGAAATACTTTACCATTATCAGTGCGTCTAACCATCTACCCTAGCTGTACAGTTGAACGAGTATTTCAGAAATTCCCTACAAGTTACTGAAAGACATTCTGACTCCCCTAAATATTCCTGAAAAACACTGTGTAAAACAGTAATTGGACAGCATTCTATTGAACACACTGTTCTAAATGCATAAACACAGTATCTACTTTAATCCTAACAACTAACTGTACAATGTGGACTTTACCATTAACTCCATTTACAGCCAAGAAAACTGAAGAAGAGAGATGTTAACTGACCTAACAGAGATTACCCAGCTAGTAAAATTTGGGATCCGAGATTCGAACATGGCTTACTCAGCAAGGAGGTTCTACCCTGGAAGCTGCACTCTTAGTTGCCATTACGTTATATCACTTGTGCTTATATATTATATACAGTTTGGACTTCGTGAACTCAAAATGTTCATGTGATTTCACCAAAAATAGCTCAAATACCACAAGAGTCAAGAAGTAGATTTAACTTCATATTTAAACATGTCTCTGTTCTCTGACAAATTGCTTTTGTACTTACCTAGAAAATTTCTTGAGTGGAAACAAAGGTTTAAGGTTTAGCAAGGCAGAGTGATAAGCCAATCTGACCCACAATCTCAGGGACATCCTTTTACTCCCTTCCCCTGGCTGGGGATCTTATCATTTTCCTTTGATTAGCATTTCCTTCCATTTTGCTTCGCATTATTCATAACACAGCCCATACTCCCCCACCCCCAACACCTGGAGGGTCTAAATAAATCTCACTTCCTAGCAGGAGGTTTCCTTCTAGTTCTTTAAAAGAAATAAACAAGTGTTATTTTTCTCCAAGGCTGAGCACTAATGACCCAATGGGCTGTTTATTTTAATTACACCCAAATCACCAATCTAGACGCCTTTGTGTTGGGGTTATTACGGCCTGCTAAAGTAGGCAAGCAATTAGAAGTGCCAGACGGTGCCTGGGATTCCCAGACCCAGCGAGAAGCACACATTTTAGCAACTTCTGACAATGGCACAATTACAAGAGCCAAAGGACAATGAACTGTCCTGAGGTTTAAATCATCATAGCAGTCTGAATTCAGGCTACAAGGTCCTATACCTTTTAAGCAAAAGTGACTTTCCCCATCCCACATAGCTCATTTGGCAAAATTTGCCATTAGAGAAAGCAAGCAACAAAGATGTGTTACTTTGTGTAGGTTTAACATGCAAAGATATGTATGGTTTCCAACTCAGGTAATGACATGTACTGTGAGGAGGAGGCAGCTATATTGTTTTGTTTTGTTTTATGATAAAGCCTATCATCCCCATTTACTAAGCTACCTTGTTCCACTTAGATTTTCCTAAAAGTAATGAATGGGCCCAATTCTTTTAAAAAGGAATATCCCTTCAGCATACCAATGCCTGCAAACCTGTAGTCGGATTTGATGTTTGTTGACTGACAGCACAGACAGCATACAGCCCTCATGCATTCATCCAAACTGTGGCTGTTCAATCGTTTCCCCATAATAACCACCACTCAAGTTTACATAGGGCTCTTGGCCCTACAGGTTTAACATTCAAAGACACATCTTCTCAAAACTTAGGATGAAATGGGATTAACATCAAATCAGAACTTTTCAAAAAACTAAATGTATGTAGGGCGGTCACAAAGCACATGCTGATTAGAAATGTGTGTGCTCCCTTCCCTTCTCTCCTCAAACCTTAATTCTTCTCCATGTTCTCCTGGACATCTTTCATGTCAGTGTTTGGAAACCAGTACACTCTGTGAGTGGCCTGACAATTCACAAAGTCCCCTGGGCTCTTGCTGAATTCCAGAAAGCAGGTTATAACATTATAAAGGAGGCAGATCTGCATGTAAGAATATAAACAACCTTGATGCTGGGTTGAAACATCGTCAAGAGAAATTTGCTAGGAAACAGAAGATTCGGTTATTTAAAATCTAGTTTAATTTAGCCACATTATTCAGGGACAAAGAATTTGATCTATAAACTTAAAAACTACCAAATCATGTTTCTACACCCTCACCCTGTCACTTGTGGGTGTGGGCATGGAGGGAGTAGAGATCTGGAAAGGAGTAGCAATTAATAAAACAAATTGTGTATCACTAAAGGTATGTCTAAAAAGATGGACTGGGGTCCGATCGTGTCCATGTTTCAGATGTAGAAAAGACACAGATGGTAGATGACTTTTTTATAAACCATAAAACAGACTGTACAAAATACGTGGCAAACATCAAGATCTAAAGGGTTTTGTTGTTTTGGTTTTTTTTTTTTCTCATCATTCCTTTTACGTTTTATGGATGTGTTATCATTGGATAAAAGCAAAACAAATATTTTATTATCTAACTGCGTTCTAGTCCTAATTCCAAAACATTCCTAAGTGGGCAACGTCATAAAATAACTTCAATGATATGTTAGCTCCTTTATAAACTTGAAAATAATGAGTTTAGAAATTATTCTTTTGAGTACAAAACAAAATCTCTGCCAAACTGTGACAGGTACCCATCTGTTCCTAAACTTGCCTGGGGAGTGGTACCTCAGGACCCCTTCAGTGCGCATCCTCATGTCTCATGTCCTTCCAGTTGGAAATATTCTGATCGCATACATCCATTCTGTGGCAGTAATAGTGCTTTCCTTCAGATCGCTGAAGGAGGCCAGGAAGAAGATGCAGCACCCCTAAGGAATTTCCCTCTGCACATGACTTGTCAGGAGACACCACAGTGCTGCGGAACGGGGTCTGGATAAGCTCTGGTCGCAGCCCCACCGTATACCAGCTGCGGGACCACAGGCACGGCGCCATACCGCACACCACAACGTTCCTCCCAGCTCCACACTGAGTGTCCGCTTAGTCTTACTAGAGGGATTTCTTTTTTTCATGACTTAGTACATTATACTGTACATAATTCATGTACTTCTTTGTTATTGGAGGTATTGCACTGGCAGGCATTTAAAAAGAATGCATATACAAATACAACATAAATATGCACGAACAACCAGAAGATATTCATGGTACTGCTAACAGCTACATGATGTACTGGAAGTAAGATACTTTTACTACATGCATTACTGCACTCTTTCTCACTCTCAAATGGATGGATGGAAGGATAGAGACCACCTTGTTTACACATTCTTTCTTCTGTGAGTTTTTCTATCTTTTAGAAAATCTTGAAATTTTCTATAAGGAACAATCTTATAATGAAAAAAAACCCCTCAGTAATAGTTATTTTCCTACAAGATGTATGCTTTTGATTCCAGAAGACAGATACTGACCTCGTTACTTTTCTTTCTTTTTTTTAACTTTGGAAACCATCTGCAAAACCTTGAATAGAACTGGGCAATAGTTAATGACCTTGGCAAATATCAGAGTTTACTAACAAATATGAGCTCAACCTTGCCCTTATTACTGCCTTGCTTTGCTGAACTAATCAACCACAGTCAACTTCTCAAGAAAAATCTTATTCCTAAGAGTAGAGAATATTTATTTGCCTTGCCATTGAGGGAAATCTTCAGTGCCAATTCTAAAATGTTGAAATAAATTCTGGTGAAAAACATTAAGTATTTTCACACAGTTGAATAAACTTTGTCAACAAATGTACTTATTTGCTTATCATAATGAGACATACAAATTCTTCCAAACTATGAAAACAGTCATGCGATGCATTCCTCAGGCATGAATGCCCTCCTGCACAAAAATTTCTTAGGCAGGCATTCTGCTATCATGTTCATCAGCTTTTGATTCCAGAGCAAGGCACTGAAATGAGAGATGGAGCACTATGCCTTAGAACTACAGAAATTACACCTTGGAAAATTAATTCTGGATTTTCCCACTAGGTCTACATGATTTGTGTGGCTTGTTCCTGGCATATATTAGTAAAAACTTAGTCACATACCTTCCCAAGCTCTGCTCTAAAGTGTATACCACCACACTAACCCTGTCCCAGAATGTTTGCATTGAGAGTCTGGTGACTTAATGCAAAGAATCAGAGATTTTGACAAGAGTTAATCAAAACATGTATTTATAAACATCTATTTCCAGGACCCCACTCATTGTCCCCAGTTTTCTGAGGGGGCTGTGCCTATAAAACTCTCTGGAACTGTAAACTCTGTGTGCTGAGTCTCAGGTCACAAACTTTCATTTTTTTCCCCCTTTAGTCACCTTCAGAAATAATTACATTACCAACACAGCTATTTCCTGTTTAGAAAGAATACAGCCTCTCTTTACCATACTGTATGTAAATAAACAATTAATACCGACTTACATGATAATTCAAAGTGTGTACTCACACACAAATTAGACTGAGCCAGGACATAAAATTACCACCAGCAATATACACAAAGGCAGACAAAAAGCATTCTGTTTGGAGAGCAGGGTTAAGCTCCCAGTGGCTGACGCGGTAAAGGTGAGTCTGGGAAACACGGAGACAGATGGCTGTTCACAGTGTATGAATCAGCCTTGCCCTGGCACCCGGGGGTCAAAGTCACCCAGGTGAACCCTTCCCAAATCCCTCCTTTCATTTTTGAAGTATAGCAAACAAACAGAAACCCCATTCACAGACATCTTTGTTTAGTAAGGCTCTGGGAAGGACCGGAGGACATGCCCTTCCTGGGTAGCAAAGCCGGGGCCCCTACCTGCTGTGACCTCAGAAGGGCAGCGTCGATCTCCTCCACCTTCTGAGTGATGGTGTCTCTCACCAGGCGGTAGCGGTCATTGTCCTCAGCCACTATTTTCTCAAGCCCTTCCCTGGCCCTCCAGGGCACCAGTTCCAGTAAAGCACTGGTCACTTCATTAAGGGCGTCCAGTAAGGCTTTGTTGCTCTGGGCTTCCTTCTTCAGCTCCTGAGAGTGGAATTAAGAAAACATACAGATGTGAGGATAATGTGTCAGAGTTTAAACAAGCTTTTTTTTCCCTTTACCTGTCCTTGGGGCACAAGTCCTCCACGGGCAGGTAATGTGAGGCACTGGTCTCCTCTGTTTCAGTTAAGTGCTATAAACCTTTGTTATTTTAAGCTATTTTGTAAAAAGGAAAGTGTTTCCTGAGAAGTTCTGAAGAAGAATTCGTTTGTCAAAGATTTTTATCTTTGAAATTTAATATACATATTTAAATGGGGAAATAAAACCAAGCAGGTTGACATGTAATATACTTTGCTTTCTGTTAACATCTAAGTAATCAGGTACCAGAAAAGTAAAATAAAGAGCCAAGTCCCAGCCAGAACTAAGTGACCCTCAAAACGAGAACATACTGGCTTTAAACCATCCTGGCAGGACACTATAGGCTCAGTGGGCCTGACCTCACCCACCTGCCCCCAGACTCCCTTTCAGCCACACGTGATCACACCTGAGGGATGATCAAACCAGAGGCTAGCTCTGAAAAGAATGATAAGCATGGTAGGATACCACCTCTGCAATACAGTGAGAAAAGCCGCCTCACGCTATATATCTGCCCGGGTAAACAAACGGGTATTCAAACCAAGTCATGCACATCTTTGAAACAATGATCATTTTCCTGTTTTTTTTTCTGTGTTCATTATTCTGTCTCTTGTGTAATTAACTATACTCCCAAACCTAAGAGTCTGGAAACAAATTCAATATATTGTTTTCATCTCGGGGCTCCTAAAAGTTGAAACAGTCCTTCGGCTGCCCAGGTCTGTCAGGTTTCACCCACCAAAGCATCCATCAGCATATCAGCAGTGACAGGAGACAAGTATCATTTCATTCCTACGAACAGAGCTCCCCAGAGGGTAACCTGATCCAAAAAGCATGAATCACAGCGTACTTGTTGTCTCGCTTGGGCTTGGCTTGCCGCTTCTCCCTGCAGGACCTGAGTTTCATATGAAAGCAGTTCCACCTGCACTTTGTCCAGCCAGGTACAGAGCTCCTCACGTGTAGCATGCAGCCGCTGTGCCAGCTGCAGCGCATGGTCCAGGGTCTTGGCGACATCCGTGCTCAGCTTAGTAATGTCTTTATACCTTGCTTTAATGGTTTCCAATTTATCTTGAATGATTAAAACTTCATCACCTAAAATTTCAAAGCCATGTTAGATCTCATGAAAGGAAAGAAAAGGTGAGGGGAAGGGTTCTTCAGGTATTAATAACATACACTCATGAGATTTTCTGGGAGGGGAAAAACCAGAAGGTATTTTCCCAAAGATGATTTGACCCAAGAGAAGCCCTTTGCTAGGTTTTCAATCATTCCCAGGATTGCTGGAAAATCAAAACAGCTCCAAAAATGCCAATATAAAAACTAGAAAGGGGCTCCAGGGCCTTCAGTTACGTGGAAAGTGTCATCTCTGCCTTTATCTGTATGGTGCTCTTGGTTTTCAAACACAGGGTTTAAAAACTGCCCGGGTTCAAACATGGACTTGGTAGCTTATTACTTACACAAGACACTTCATCTCTCTGTGCCCTTGGGTACTCGTCATTACATGGGGTAAGAAGAGAACCTACTTGATAAGGCTGTGATACAAATGCAGTGAGTTTATGTCTGCAAAGTGTTTAGAACAGTGTCTGGTGTGTGTGCATGTATGCATACATGTATGTAGGTGTGTATGTGTGGTATGTGTACATTAAAAATGATAAATTTATCTGCAGTATTCCAGCAGACCCTCACTTGCATCCACCTCATTCTCAGACACACAGAGTAATTGTGTGGGGGCCTCAGACCCCTAGTCCAAGGTTCTCCATATGATCTCCTGAATTCTTCCAACTCACCATGAATGGTACCTACCCCCAGCACACACACATGCTGAATTGGCTGCAGTTACAGTGATGCTTTCCTCTGGCCAAAGCAAGTGTGAAACAAGTTAGTCTGTATCTGTTTCCTTGGTGAGCTCAAGCATGGGAAATGAAGCCTGGGTACAGCCACAGTATGTGTCTACCTTAAAATTGAAAGTATTTGTCTACAAATAGAACTGCCTTTCACAGTGGAAAACTAACGCAACTACTCTGTGGGCTTCTCTGACCATCCCCTGTGCCACACCGTCTTGTGTTATGAGTAATACACACAACTTCCACTAAGAATTCAAGTGAGATCATGAGAAAAAAAGTTAAGATCATATTCCCAGACCCCCCTTGGGTCTTCCCAGAGTTCTCCAGAATGAAGTCTTGGAGTGGCCCCAACATTATAAAGGGTTTTGTTTTCTCCCATCCCTAAAGCATTTCGAAAGCACTGCAAAATGCTGACTGATGATTATTTGATTTGAAAGATACTCACCTGTTGTTTGTTTAAGTAGTTCTAACCCATTCAGTAAGGCCCGATCTACATTTTGTTTCCTGAGTAGGATGTCCTCTTGTAGAACCTAAAACACAGGGACCGTTTTTATGTGGAGGGGGAAAAATTTAAATAAAGATTAGCATTAGTTAATCTTAGAGAACTGAATTGGGTTTCAGAGATGTGTTTAAGTAAACACCTCACATTTTCCAGTGTTTTTCATGATTCCCACGTGCCCCTCTTTTCTCCAGGTCGCATGTTCCCATCCTTACACAAATACAACTCCACTTGTGGGTTATGTGGAGATACTGGAACACTGGCTGATTAGGGGGGGTCTTTGTACACAACAATAAAGTAACAGAATGAAAAGTTAAAAACCTGGCTATTGGATAAACCTTTCTAAAAGTGAACTCATTAAAAGTAACCTGGGTACACAGGCAGCCTTTTTTGAATATAGCAACTCACTTCAGTCACAATGAACATAAAATCATACAGAAATAAGGAAGACTGAGAAAATAATGAAAACCGAAATGAAAAAAAAAAAAAAACAAAACATAAAATAAGTCAAAATACCCGAAGTTCAGCCTGCTGCTTCCACAGTCCCTCAGTGCTGTAATCCTGGACTGAGAGTTTGCTCATTTTGTCATGCACTTCGTTCAGCCAGTTCATCAGTTCAACTTCACCTTCCCCAAAAATCTTAGCATTACATAAGGCCTGCTGGAGAAGCTCAGACCTGCTGTGACTTTTCTCTTGAATCTCAGTATACCACATTTGAGAGGAGGCTAATTTATTCTGCACCATATCTTTATCCTCCCTGGAGCTCAAAATCTTTAAGGACTGGCCAATGCTAACAGCCTGATGTAAATGTTTATTGTGATGGGTGATATCATCTTCTAAAGCCTAAATAAGGTTTAAAAAAGAGAAACAAAAGGAATAGACAAATGAAAATGATAACGTAAATAGAACAAAGGATGACATTTGAAATGAGTCAAGTTTGCAATTATGTGTAACACAATAGCACATAGCTCAAATTTATGTCACAAAACCACAGAGGAAGTGGAAAACTGAATCTTCATGTGCGATGGGTTTCTTACTTTGTGCTGGGCAATCTGTTCCTCAAGTTTAGATGCTTGGGTTCCGATGGGCTCAGAATTTGCCAGCCTCTTTTCTACGGTTGTAAGCCACTCATTCAGTGGTTCTAAGGTTTCATGAAATTGCTGGGCTACCACGGAGATACCTTCCAACTGACGATTCCTATGAATGTGCCAAGACAAAGGTCATTTAGGGATGAGGAATGTGTGAAACAGTCAACAGAAATCTTCACTCATGCTCCTGCATTCTACTCTAAACATTTTTTAGAGAAAAAATTTAAATCTCTCCCATTTAAAGAATATGTTAAAACAGTTCTCCTATTAAATGAAATTAAGGTTGAAAAACAGACCAACCACCAGTACTGGGTTTTAATGAAAGTCTAAAGAAACTTGGTTAAAATGCTTATGATAGTAATAGTTATAGTGCCAGTAATATTACAATAACAAGAGCAATAACAATGACCATAAAAATAATGACTTATTGAACACATTCTGTGCTGGAACCAGTGGTGACTGGGTTTAATTTACTATAATTTCAATTGTGAGTCAATTTATTAGTCTGAGTGTGAACTGTAGTATGACCTCCATCCCTTCACTTAATGCCATTGTGAAGAAGGTTTAGGAAAATAAGTAAAGCATTTATTCATTTAATTAACAAAAAGTACTTAAAGTATCTCTCATGGCACCCAGGGTAAAATGTCCTGGGCATTACACAGAAGGAACAATCTTCTGACATATATTGAAGGACAACAGGAAACTTTCAGCTTTCTTAAGAGCACCTTATTCTTCGGTCCTAGAATGCTAATTAATTCTACTCCATAATTCAAGATTAGACAAATTATTCCCTTTGACATTTTGGTTCTAAAGAAGGTAGGAAGTTATGGAACTACTCATTCTGTTCAGTGGTTCATCCATTTTCAAGTCAACAGGTCTCTGCGGCTGCACTTCACTGTGGCTACTACTCGACATGTTCATGTGGGGCCAAGGCAGAGAAGGAAGAAATGTAATTAAAAAAAAAACGTTGATCACAAAATCCCAGAGGAGCCATGCTCCAGGCTTTCTCATAAGCACAGGACCCTAAAACCTTATTTCCTAGATAACTCTTACTCTTCCTTTAAAACATAGCTTATCTCTTCCCTGCCCCTAGACTAGCTTCTTCCTGTCACATGCATCCAAGCACCCTGTATTTTTGCTTTGAAACATCGCAGTCTTCATTACTTACCAATGGCCATAAAACCCTACTTGACTGTGCTCCACCTGCGGGCAGAGACGACCTGTCCAGCTCACCCACATAAGCCAAGGTCTAGCTCTGTACCTGATGCAAGGTAGGCAGGCACTAACTATTTAATAACCAAAGGAATGAATTACTCCCAAGGGCAACGTGTTTCTTAAAACAAAGAGTCGGGATCTAGCTGGTGACTCTAAGCCATGACCGGTGGAGGAACGAGGAGAGAGCCCTTGCCACCTATGCTCACAGACACAGTGAACGTGGGAAAATACCAATTTAGAGGAAAGTATTATCAAAATACAAAAAACCGACATTAAAGCTTTTGCAACTTTTACAAAAGACTGCCCGTAGTTACCGTGTCTCGGCTTTACTAAGCAGTGCCTGCCATCTGCTATCCAAGAGACTCAGCTGTTTCAAAATCTTCACTTTATCTGCAGGTTCTGCTGTTGCAGCAATTTTTTCTCCTTTTTGTTTGATTACCTCCACAGTAGATTTGCCATCATCCAACAATCTTTGGAGAAGCTTGAGACACAACATCAAACATATACACAAAAAGGGAAAGGAAAACGTAGTCTAAGTACTTCTGCTATGTGACAAAAATATATATTTTGCATGGATTCATCTACAAAAGGATCTCAGAAGTAGGATTTTTAAAATAACTCATTTTGTTTAATGATTAATTACTATTGTGTCAGATATTGTGGTAGAAGCTCTTCATAGTAGATAAAACTAATATTGGCAAGACCACTAAGGCATGCATTATTAAGTATGCAATATAAAATAATGGGGTAGAAGGTGCTGCTTAGGATAACTCCACTGCACTAAAATCCCTATTATTGTAATGAAATGGGAATGCCCTAAACATTCAACAATTATCAGTCTCATTGAGACAAAAATGATTATTATAAACCATTAGTATTTTTAAGACCTTTTCCCATGACAATCCATTATAGACAGGGAACCTGAGGCTCAGACAGAGCTCACAGCTAATGAGGCTGAAACTAGAGGCTCTTGGCTCCTTTTAGTAGGCGGGACTAGCTCCTAAATCCTTCATGAGGATGAAAACAAAATAAGAGCCTTTAAATATCATTTCCAAAAGGAAAAGAAGCTGCTTTATTTATCACTTGCTAGTGTCAGAAATCTCCGAGGCTGGCTAAATAAGACTAATATTTCAGGATTTTACAACAGAAAAAAAACACTCAATTTGAGTCTAAGTAAACATTTCAAGAAGCCTGGAATGAAATTTTTGACACAGGTAGCTGGACTCAGGATTACCTGGCAGTAGTCTAATCAAAACAAGTATTTCAGGAGCAAGTTATGTGCATACACACTGTGTTAATGGCAATGAGGAAGTTACAGGTGAACAAAATCCTTAATACTGATTCCTTCATCTGACCCTGAGTGACAGTTAAGGATTAAAGAAATGGACAGTCTACTCCAGAAGTTAACAAGCTAGAAGAGGATTCTCTCCCTTTCGTGTGACATCAAGACCACCAAAGCAGAAGGTAAAAAGAAGGGGAAGAAATGCAAAAGTCTCTCGACACTGGTTAGAGTCATTATAAAATCAAGGCACAACAGGTGGGTTAGGCAGCAAAGAGAACGAATTAAGTAGATTACTTTGGATAAACTTTAACAGCAAAGCCTCTAGCTATTAAGAAAGCAAAATCAACACATAGGTTTTATTGGTGAAGCATAGTTCAGTAACTCCGGAAGAATAACAAAGGTTTAAATGAAATTGTAAATGGTAGCAAGTTATATTATTACATGTAACATCACATTAAATATAAGATTATCACATGCATGTCATTTTATCCCTTGTTATATATTATATATGTGACTCAAAGATCACACAAATGCAATGTGTTTCCTGTTTTGTTTCTTCAATCCTTACCTCTAAATCTACTTCTAACAGGTTAGTTTCCCAATATGCTAAAGCCTTTAGTGGATTTTGAGAGAGAGAGTACTGTCAAAATTAAATTAAGCCTCTTATTCATTCCCTTCTGTTTAAAGTTACACAGAAAACAAACCTTACGGGCGTGCTAGGCCCCACCCATATATCATTTCATGTCACGGCTGATGAGTTAGTAATGACAATGTCACTAAATGCTTCCTGACAGACCACAACCATCAGGAGCAAAAAACTGTACGTGTGGCCCCAAGCAGTCATCATCCCTCCAACAAGAGTGTCTTTCTGATGTGGTACCATATTGGTAGTACGAAAAACACAATGGCACATTCCTTAATTCCAGAATCAAATATTTGCCTCTTCAGTACAGCTTGAACCACAAGAAACTGCCCATATTTAATCTATTAAAATGGGCAACTTTTGTATGGATTAACCTAATACATAAAGGAACCGTTGGAATCTCTGTCCAAAGTTGTCTCTTCAGTGAGTGATGTCTTCCTGACCTGCTCCATTTAAAACTGCACATACACACACCCCACTCTCCACTCTGTCACTTCCTAATACTTATCTCCGCATCCCTGCTTTATTTATCACTTGCTAATTTATCATAATTTGATTAATTACTTTACTGTCTCTCTCACCCTGTTCCTCCCCTCCTACTAAATTCAATGAGAAACATTTATCTTTTTTACTCAGTTGATGTATCTCCAGCACTGATACAATGCCCGACCCAAGACAGATACTCAATAAAATATTTGTTGAATGACTAAGTAAATAATGTCTAGAACATCAATAACTAGTTAACTAGGATAGCCCATTAATGTAAACAGAGTCACAAGGTAAACTTTTAACTCTCCTTATCAAGAGTTAATATGAATCACAGTACAAAAGCATCACTGACTTACCTTTTGCTCCTGTATCTGAGCCTTCACCACTTTGAGCTCGGCTGATGGGGGCTTCTGATTGGCCACGAGCTCCTCGGTGTCCACCAGCCAGCTGAGCAGGGACTCCAGGGAATCCTGGAACCTTCCGCAGTGCAGCAAGGCCTCCTGCAGCTGCGCTGCTCGCTGAGCCACCTGCAACGTTCCAGGTGTTCCAACTCACTTACTCATTTCATGCAACATGGGCTCTGCCCACCAGACACCACTTCTCATGCTGCTCTGCCCATTTTGTCACCCATTTTCTTTACCTTTGCACTTAGAATTACTGCCATTGATGGTGGGCAGGAAAGGGGTCAAACTTGAGCAAGAAAGCCAAGAAGATAAGATTATGATCCCAGTCAATGTAAAAGATAGTCTCTTTGAGATTTTGGAAATATCTAAAACATTTATGATTAGCAATGAATGATTCAAATATTTCAAAGTTACTGAAAGAAACAAGGCCTTAATCATTTTTATCATTATCCCTGATGTGGTGCCATATCGTTATCAATTTTATCCTACTGATGAATATCAGAGATAATGATTTTAAAAAGATAATGATTTTTAAAAACTATTATAGTAGGGAATCAGAATTGTGCTTTGTGAGGCAAAATAACTACAAAGTACCCATTAAGTTCTGCCAGCTCCAAGTTCTAGAGTCCTTTTTTGACAAACCAGGGCCTTTGTCTCCTAGTAAATGGAGTCTCTGTACCCTGCACTGAGAGATCTTACTGCCCTTCTCACAGATCTTTTCCTTTTGGACTGAGAAAGTGGTTGGCGAGACCCTTCAAGCACCAGGATGTACCTACACCTGACACTTGATTCCAATTGTGTCTGAGGAGCACAACGGCATGAGGCAGACTTTAAAAGAATGATACATGTAGTTTTGAGATTTGGCAGCTGCTTAAGATTTCAACACAGGGAAGAACTACAGAAATGATAGCAACCACACCAGAGAAGGAGTGCCATCCCATAACAATTTTCTGATAATTTATGCCATGTGAAGAGTCACCAGAATGGGTCAGCATAGTCTCCAAAGATATCAGGGCATTCTTTTCCAGTGTTTTTCCTTGTGGACATTTAGGAAAAGTTGGGATATACATCCTATAAGTAAAATAATATTTGGAGTTAATGGTCTATAGCGAGGGCATCAAACCCTGAGTCCGGGGTTGACAGTGCACAGTGTGTGACCTGCTGTACAGTGGGAAATGGCCACTGACAATAGAAAAGTAGGTTTCACATATGAAGTGAGATTTCCAGGTTCATTTGTATTTGGCAACAGTGAACCTAGGCTCTTACATGGCAGTGATTTGCTGAGGTTAATAAGTAGCTAGTACACCTTTAGAGGTAGATGTGCTCTCTCTACCCAGGGCCATGCATCAGGGGCCACCTGCCGTCACACCTGTACTGTTGAGTCTCTATCAAAGTGGAGATAACAACAGGGAGAAGCCCTGTTTCACCCAGCTCACTTCTTTCCTTTATGCTGCCTACCACGCTCCTGTGAGCATCTGAGTTTGAGCCACCCAGCTTACAGCAGTGCAAAAATACAGGCATGTTTACGGAAGTGTGGCTACTATAAATATGATTAGTGATCACACAAATGCTAGAGAAGAATAATGAACAGAAATGACAATGAAGGGGACGAAAAAATTACCTTCTTACTGAGAGTCTTCCACAATGCATTGACTTCGTCCAGGTCATGCTCCAAAGCCTGCGTGCTGGTGTTTTTAGCAGCACTCTGAATAAGGCCTTGACCTAACCAGTTGACATCTTGCTGTTTAACCTGCAAGGGCTCAATCTCTTCTTTTTGGAATACCTGCAGTTGGGAGGGCAATCATTATATGAATGACATTATCTAACCACCACCAAATATGAACATTTGTTCAATTATCAGGTATCAATTATTAGAGGTAAAGATAATTTTTGCTGCTTATTCATAGGTTGTAGCTATCTAATGAATAAGAGTGAGGAAGTAAACTAAATATCTGTTCACATTATCAAACCACTCAGGAATATTAACGAATGATATTCTAAGTGTATTTAATCAGATTACTTAAAGAACCAAGAAAAGAGTACATGTGTCCTCTCTTCATTGCTTCATTATCATAGTAATAGAAATTTCATATCATTCCAATTTAACTCTTGTTATAAAAAAGAAAAGGTATGGAGAATGCTAAGGAGCAAAATTTTAAGATAGGCCCCAAATGAATCTTACTGGGCAAGGATACTTATATAGGCTCCTGTAAAGATGCTTGCTGCTAGCTGGCAACTAAAGTCTAAGGCTCAAACTGGAAATGAGCATCTCTGAGAAGATAAGGAGGTGAGACAAGAGGTCAGGCTTTAGCCTGCCAGGTAAGCTAAGCTAACAGAGTAGGAGAAGAGAAAAGATACAGGCACTGCATGAGTGTGGGCGCCTACACACGCAGCCCCCCCTTAATATCTGTCAAGAATGCTGAAGGGCTTGCAAGAGGCATGGAGACCTCACCCCATGGAGGACCTGATCACCCGTAAGGGCAGCACAGCAGCTCTGGCCACTCTGGCCCCCTCCGGCCCCATCAGCAGTTCTCCAGCACTCACCCAGTGACTGTCCACCCCATCCAACCTCAGTCCCCAGCTGCCTGTAACTAGTACAAGATCTAAAAGAACTAATGTGTTAGGGCAAAAGACAAGTTCCACTAAAGCAGAAATTTCTGTTTTCCTTATACTGGACCTATCATAGTACCCAGCACATAATATATACCCAATAATTGTTGCCAAAGGAACAACACAGAAAAATTATGTCTATATTTTGGGGCAGAGGATGTCAACCCCCAACAGAGGATACTGGGGTTACATCAACACTTTCATAGACAATACAAATGTTCTTAATATAGGGCTTGAAAGATGCCACAAGGAAAATAAATTAGTTTAACTAAGGGAAGCTTCAGTCAGACACCAAAGACTAAGTTTAGGGCTCTGAGTCATTATACTTACAGGGCAGTATGTAAGTACATGAACAGTCCAGATGAATGAACAGTTGAATAGGATGTATGAAAACATAATAAAGCCAAATATCAAAATAGTACTTGTAAAAAATTTACTGACACAGTATGGAAAATAATTTTGAGAGATGTAGAGGCTGAAAGAGAGAAACTCTCTAGACTCTGGCCCAAGACCTAGCACGCAGGATACTCCTGTGTTACTGTGTGAATGACTGACTTAAGGAATAGCAAACAAATAAATGATCATTTCCTCTAAAAGTCCCCTCCTAGTTAAAAGCACATTTCCTTCTTCCATAGGAAATCTGTAGAGACAATTTCCACACTGGCTAATTACTTCCACATAACAATATTAAATATAAAAAGTCAATCACACATAACTACAGAAATTATAAGAATTCCCCCAAATCACTGAGAAAAAAAAAGCACACCTAAGTTTTAATAATTTTTTAAAAGACATTAATTTATCTAGTAAGTCAGTTGGAAGTTGCAGCAAGGTGGTGAAAATAGAATTTGGTACAATGATTCTATTCCTCTTCATACCACTTTCTAAGTTACTGCTTCTAGAAACTAATAGCTGTGAATATGTTTTACAACTCACAAAAAAAGGAGTGGGGGATGGGTAGGAAAACTGCTCATTCTTAATTCAGGAACTTTTCTGACACATAAGGATTCAAGGAAAGCTTCTATTCTCCCTCAGATAATTTGTCAGGACAAAACCTAATATTTTTAACCTCTGATCTTGGTTTTAAAGAAATTAATTTTGGGGATGCAAGCTTAGGTCTAGGTGGGTCTCTGGTAATATATTTTTTCAACAAACAATATATTAAGAGTAAAAAAAGGACAGCTACTAATGAATCTATATGCTCCTAAGCATTCAATTACTTTCTAAAAATAAACTGCAAAATCCTTCACATAAAAAAGGACTTTGCTAAGCTTTCAAACTAACAAGCATGCCATTTAATGCATGCTCAAGGCAAGGGTACCACTGACTAGAGCAATGATTTCTTAGACTAAGAAGAGGGACTTTTCTGTTTTGTCCAAATTCCTTATCTCTCAGTGATAACAAAATACCTATGAAGAGACACTTTCCCCCAACTCAACCCATAAGCACACAAACACAGAGAAGCTTAAAATAAAATAAAATTACCTCTGAGGCAGTTTACTAGAAGAGCTTAGGAAAAGTACCAAAATAGCTGAACTTCAATCCGAGTGGGAAGAAAAAAATTACAGGCTTGAGGAACAAACTCTACTTACTACAAGGCTGCACCCTTTACTTTCTTACCTCAGTCACCACTCACAGAAAGTTAGGGGCTGTAATGACTGCACAATACACCACCACAGCTTCTGTACTTCCACATGCAGAGCTACTGAGAGAAAATTTTCAGCACACTTTAAAAGTCCTTAATTCGCACAGAGTGCTCTGCAGCCCGCAACAATGTAACACTCACTGGGTTTGGGCCTTCATAACCAAGTGCTCAGGCTTAATAAACCCAATGTAACTGCCTTTAAAGGGCAGTGTCTTAAACCACAATTTGTGTTAAGAGCCTAACGTTAACGTAAACTCACGGGGGAGGCATTCTGAATGAATGAAGGGCAGCTAACACCGTCCAGCCAACAGCGGGACAACAGCCGGGAATAATCATTCTCCTCAAATATGGTCCCTCATCTGTCAAAATGATCCACTTACCCGTTTATCTGTCATCTTGTAAAGTACTAATCAAGCCCTCAAATAAAAGACTGGATATGATCATTATTAGAAATACTAGGGACCATTTTAAAACAGGACCACAAACTTAAGTCATTCCACAGTTTCGCATTCCTGTCAATTACCTGAGCTGCCTGAAAGCCATTACAGACTGTGTCCAATGTTCCTGCCTGGGCCCTTGTTTTCCTAGGAGCTGCTTGCTTTCTTAGTGGTGTGAATTTCGGGGAGCACTTCAAATGGATCACCTCCATCTCCTGGGCAGAAAGGAGAGCCTCCACTTCCTCTTTAAATGCTATGTTGGATTCTTCTGAATCATGTGGTATCAAAAGGGTCACAGTTTCCACTAGACTTGTGCTACCACAATCTACGTAATTTCCCCCCAGATCTGTGACAGAGAGATCTAAATCCTGAGGAGAATCTTCCATACATTCCCTACTTTGTGCTGTGACTTGAGATTTTCCGGGTCCATATGTTTTCCTTTCGTCTGCAGTGGGAGAAATACACTCGTGTGCTCCATCTCTTGACGTAATTAATGGCTCAAATTTAACAGTGCTCTCTTTCAAGTCATTCTGCAGGCAACAATTTTCACCATGGATTTCCCTTTGGCAACTGACATGTTTTGTTTCCTCCAGCGGAGAAGCATCATGCAAAATCGTTTCTAAATTCTCATCCAGGTGGGTGCTTCCACATGAAAGCAGGGGGATTTTCTGTTCACTAATGGAATAAACAGAAAAAAATGGTCTATACTGCTCTGCTATGTGAATATCTTCAGCAGAAGACAAGCTTCTAATTCGTGACTGGTCTCCAGTTAAAATGCCCTGTTTTTCTTCCCTCTCTGCTGGAGGGCTACATAAACCAGAGTCGTTCTCCTCTGATGTGAGAGAATTAGTACCCCATCTGCACTTGCCGGCCTTGGTAACAGCATCTGTCGTATCAATAGGTTCAACAAAAGAGCTTTCACTTTTGTTTGCATAATCCATAAAATTGGCTGGGACAAACATTCGCCATGACCGTCTATGCTCCTTCTTTTCTGCATGCGATTTGGCTTTGGGTAATCCCGTGCTTCGAATGACATCACTGTTTAGTTTGAGCGCATCAAAGATCATCTTTTCATCTAATTTGTTAGCTTCACGACCTCTCAGCTCAAATGCACCGGGAGAAGAAGCAAGGGCACCATTGGACCATAAAGAGTTAACATCCAGTGTTCTGTGACTGTAGGGTAAAGTCCGGTCTGTAAAATGCCTGGAAGACAGGCTACCTTTGGAACCGGAGTCTATCTGCTCGTTTAGCCTAACAGTATCATAGATGGACCGCTGCGGGACGTAGCAGTCTTCGATGTTTAGGTCCTCCTCTTCTTCACCTTTCCCTACACATGGGGGATTCTGACGTAAACAGTCTGGTCTGCTGAGTGGCTTCCCCATTTTACAGACAGTTAAAACAACTATCGCAGCTCTTGATAATACAGGAAATAAGAAATAAGATAAAGCATCTTTCACAAAAGTGTACTTCCGAACAGAACTATGCAGTGTCTTCAGCATAAGGACACATGCTCAAATAGCATACACGGTAATATATGAGGTGCTTAAGGCCATCTCAGTGCGTCTGTCTAAATCAACTATCCTCTTACCTGGCTGTTTTTAGAATAATTCTAAAAAATAAAGTGCAGTAAGGATACAGTACAAAAATCTCCTTTCTCCCACTTCCCTAGGCCTCAAAGTTCCCTTTCACATACTCCAAAACACAGAAAGAAAACACATACACACTTAACAGTGTCTCAAACACTCAAAACATTCCATTGTCAGTCAATCTTCCTTTTTAGTCTACTTTTGCATCTGAGATTTCCAGATTAAAATGTTCAAATGAGCAAGCATTTTTAATAAGCTGCATGTCAGTTTTGGCAGGGCGTGGGTTAACTGTAATCCACTTAAAGGTGGCTTGCAAAACCCCATCTCCTTTGTAAATAAACCATGCTTCAGAAACTTAGACAAACACAGGGACCATGTATTGTTCAGATCAAGGCACAGAACAATCTTCAGAGAAAAATAAGTTAAGTCTAAGGCTGTAAGAAAGTTAAAATTTTCTTTTACTTTTTTTGGGAGTAGCTATAAATAATCTTGATCCAAAAGGCAG